AAGTCCATCTGCAATATTGCTTACTTTCTTCCAATCCCAATGTTAACAGACCTTCTGCAACAAATGAACAAAGGATTACAGCTGTATGTTAATGTGCAATCCATGTGGGCAGAAGCTGTGCTTGAGAGCAGCCCATTAATGATAGGAAAAAAAAATTCTCTCCATAGCTGTTTTTCTCTCCTTCTGTTCTCTCTTCCCACCCACCCACCCCCTTTCCCACCCCCACACATGCCAAACAATAGAGACTGCTTATAATGCAACTCAGTCTTCAGGATCTGCAGCACTAGAAGCACCTCTCATGAGTCACCAGCTTCAGGAGATAGCATACTTTTTTCCCTTTCTTCTAAGACTTGCACTTTTCCCCTTCTCTTTTCTTTCTTTTTCTCATTATTTTCCTTTACTTGATGTTGAGATTCCAGAAAGAGTGAAGAGAAGAACCACAAAAGGCTGTTTCATTCAGGTACAGAAGAAAAGTGAAGGTCTTGCAAAGTACATAGGTCCAGGATAGAGGATGATGCTCCTTTTGACCAATTTCCTGGTTGAGAAAGCATTATGAATTGCTCTGATTACAAACAGGCCCCTGAGATTGGAAATGGCACATTGTTTTTCCTCAGTATAAATTGAGAGTGTTCAATTTTGAAAGTTTTCATCTTTGTCTTTATGTGTCACCAGCACATGCTGTGCCATGAAAACCCTTAGCAGTGGCTGTTCCTCACTCATATCCCAACCTCTTTGCCAAGAACATCACATTTCATTCTGTATATGGACCATAACATTCCAATCATGCCTGTTTCAATCCAGACACAGGCCACCCAAAACCAGCTGTTCCATCTATGGAACACTTTGCACAGCCCTACTTAGAAGTTAAAAACAAAAACAAAATTGGAAAAAGGCAATGGTAAACCACTTCCATTCTGTAGCCAATGCATTCTGTATTATGTGAGAATCTCTCTCTCTCTCTCTCTCTCTCTCTCTCTTTCTCTCTCTCTCCCTCTCTCCCTCCCTCACTCCCTCCCTCCCCCGCTACTTTCTCCTTCCCTGGTAGCTCCTGTTGGAAGTGTTTTTAGACGTTGTGGTTTGACATGGCTGCTAGTGAAGCTAACTTCATATCCCCAGTAGCTTTTGCAGCGGGTGTTCCTTATTAATAGAGAACTCAAAATCAAAAATTCCTTAAGATCTTTGCCAAGAGAAGGAAATGTTTTTAATGTCTGAGAGTTCAAACTGCTTGCATTTATTTTGATATGGTGATACTGTTTAACTAACCCAACCTATAATATCAGCCATTGTAATAAAGGAGAATACTTGAAAGCAAAAGAAGTGGTCAAGCCTTTTCCAATGTAATATAACCCAGAACCGTTGGACTGTCATAGCCAGAATTCTTAGCCAACATGACTCCCCCGTCATACAAACTGGGAGTTTTCAGCTTTGTAGTCCCCCCCCCACCAACCCCCCCCCCCAAAGTTGGAAAGCAAAACTCTAATTCTGCTCCTTGTGAGAAAGTAGTCATAATAAGGCATCTTATTTCATTTGAATAAAACTGTGGAAAAAGAGATGGCTTACTAGAGCTACTGTTCAAGGGAGCTGAGTTCAGGCTTAGTAGCTGCTTTTCAGTTACACCTTCCGTGTCTTTCATGTATGCCCTGGCAGCAGTGAGCTGAGATCTTTTCAAATAGAGAGGGAAAATGTGAGATTATTGGGTGATGACACATTGAGTGACTTTCTTCTGGGACACAGACACTGCTGAAGAAAGGAACAAAACGTATTGCTTTGATTTACAGAAATCTGACCTTAATGTATTAGCTGGTTGCCAGAGTTTAAACAACTGGCACGGAAAGCAAACAAGCATTGTTGTCTGCAGTTCACAGTCCTGTCAGATTTAGGCTGGTATTGTAATTATTGCACTATTTTAAACATGTAGCATAATATATGTTTGTGTGCTGCTGCTTCTGGGCGTGTTAGGAATTTAGGGGAGAATGTCTCAAGCTTTATACTTTATACTTCCGCTTCATTCCCATTTCTCTTCTCCGCTGACAAAATAGAATATTCATATCGCCCAATAAATCTTTTAAAATGGAACCTTTATTTGCAACTCTGCCATTTCCCCCCAGGTATTAAAGTTGCTAATGTGATTGCAGAGACATTAAAAGTTATGTTCCAAAGAATCTGTACCATTAAGGCATTGCAGGAAGGGACAAATGGCAGACATGGATCCCTTCAGCTGAAAAGGAGGCACCCTAGCTAATGGGCAGCTGCTCAGAGAGAAATGGATGCTGGAGTTAATTCCTTCCTGAAATAAAATATTTGGAATCCAGTTGATAAAATACTTATCCTTTTTTTTCTGGGAAGAAATGGAATCTCAGAATATTTCTTAGGGGCCAAATTTACATAGCAGTCAGTGCCAGCAAAGCTTGTGATAGGAGTATGCAAAAACCTCGGTCCAAATGGCCTTGAATTCAGTTGTTTGAAACAGCTGTTTCAAATGTGTGAAGCAAGCTAATTCAAACTTTGTGGAAGGGTTTTTAGCTTGGAGTGTATTTTGAGATGCAACTATTTTGTCCCTCACAAATAAGATATCTGCAAGTCTGTTTGTCTAGCATGTGTTGCTTCCACTGACTGGCTGTGCTTTTCAGCATTACCTGGAGGTGCTTTCAGCATTACCTGGAGATGCTGAAGCTTGAAACTGCAATCTTTTGCGGACCCAACAGAGGATCCACTACTGAATTAGCACCCTTGGTTGGGTAAATGTTCTATAACACAAATGGAATATATCCTAAATATTTACTGTACCTATAAATTAAGAAGGAAATGCTTATGGTTTCTCTCTTTCTTTTGATGCTGCGAGGCATGATACAGTGAATGACAAGAATTTTCCAAAGGCATTCAGCATGAATACAAATGAATTTACAATACAATACATCAGGTAGTCCTTGATTTAAGATCACATTTGGGACTGGAATTTCTGTCATAAATAATTGTGGTCATAAATCAAGTCAAACCTGATTTTATGACAATTTTTATAGTAGTCATTAAGCAAATCACTGGTTATTAGGAGATTCCAGCTTCCCCAATGGGTTGTTTTGTTTTTTTCTGGAAATCAGCAAAAAAAGTTAGCAAATCACGATGATGCTGCCACTGGTCATAAATGCAAGTTGGTTGCCAGATGCCCAAATTGCAATCACATGACTGGAAGGGTGGTGTGCGAGTATAGGTTGTAAGTCATCTTTTCCGAGGCCATTGTAACTTTGAAACATTTTAAAATTGTCATAAGTTAAGGGTTATCTTTAATAAAACAAGAAATTTTGATTTCTGTTTTAACTCCAATTTAACTCTGTATAAAGAAGCTTTAAGTGGCTTGATCATGGCTGCATGGGAAGGAAATTGAGTTCCTCATTATTTTCTCTTTTCCATAAAGATTAAAAGCTTGCATTGTAGTAGCATCATCTACTCAAGGACAACTTGGGTGTAGTTGTTGTGGAAAGGAAGCCATGTTGTATTACTATCATAAAGGAGATGGAAAGTAATACTTTGTCACTTCAGAATGGAACCCACCTACTGCAGGGAATGATGGAGGACAAAAAAGGATTTTGAAAGGAAAGCTTGTTTATGCTTCATATGATCCGAGGAAAATAGCCTGGAGCTATTTTTCTTTTCAAGATTGCCTTTCTTGCTTTTGTCCTTGGCTAGAAATGGATCATCATCTAATTAAAGGATTCGTAGCTGATATGTTTATTTTAATTGGCTACAATACTTGTTCAAATCTGTATACATGTGTCATCTGAATAAATACTAATGGGAGGGAAGCTTGCCGTTCCTTAATATGAATTTATCCTGCAACAGGCTTCCTCTTAGAAAAGGCATTTTCCTTTCTTACAGTAGCCTTTGTTGAAATGGCATCGACAGTCTGCCTGCAGAGTCTTTTGGGGTGAAGAGGGAGGGAGGGAGGGAGGGAGGGAGGGGTATCCAGAAAGCAGGCACAAGTGCTTGCTCAAGGGCTGGTATATGCAATAAAGAAGGGGCTCTATTAACTCTTTTGTAGTTAATGACCTTTAAAGCCATGAAGGTTTGCATCAAAAATGCTTTAGGGTATACCAGACTTTTAGGCTGTTGAAACTGAGTATCAGATGGAAGTGCTGAGTGCAGAGAAAACTCTGAATGTGAGAAAAGAAATTTATTGCATTGTGGATTTCTCGGGCCATTGGTTGCAGAATTAAGTGGATGACTTTATGTCAAAATTTGAAGACTCCACACGAGGAGATGCTGTTTGGTTAAAGGGGAACGTGGGGCTCTTGTAGAGGGTGTCTTCTTTTGCTTTGTTGCATCTTCTCACAGGAGAGGAGGTATGGGTTCAAATAGACAGCTTGAAGCCTCTCTGCATCCCTTGGAGGCCTTTGAGGAGGACCTCTGTCCTCTATGATTTTCAGAAAGAAGAAGTAGGAAGCTGATCCTCAGCAGCCTAGAAAGGAGAGCTCAATGGAGAAAGTGTAAAAACCCTTCTGAAGCCCCTTTAAATTTATGTGAGCCCCGGAAGTCAATTCGAAGCAATAGGCAGTAGAGAATTAGCAGTATCCAGGTGCAGAGGGAGTAGGAGGGAGACTAAGAATCTCTCTGCTCTTCTGCCACCCACACAACATCTGAAGCCCACGTACTGAGTCAGGAGCTTTTGTGTGAGGGAAGTCGGATGACTAAGGGTGGATATTACTGAGGGGGAAGGAGAGCTATTCTCTCAGCAGGCTTATGCTCTGTGGCCAGGTGCCCCCTGCTGTCCAGGCTACAGCTGAACACCAGATAAGGAATCTCGACAATTCTGTCCAGTAATGATGAAGAGGTGACTGCCTACTTCTTTCTCTCTGCTTCCTTTCTTTGAAGCAACTGGAGTAGATGTTAGCTTTGCAAAGGAATCTGCTGTATTCAGAATACCTGCAGCCTTGTGGGCTCATATTGTGATTAATATGCTAGTTTTTACTCACCTATAATATTTTATGTTCTCTCTTTTCTTCCAGTTTATTGAAGCAATGACCAATAAACAAAGTGAGCTGGAGAACTATGTATCTGATGGTTACAAGACAGCACTCACAGAAGAGAGGCGGCGATTTTGTTTCCTGGTAGAGAAGCAGTGTGCTGTGGCCAAAAATGCTCTTACATATCACTCCAAGGTAAGCAGCAGCACTTAGTAATTGAACTAAACCACTCCAGGGATATATTTTTCTTTCTTTTTTTTAAATAGTAATTTTATTAAAGATTACAATTACAGTTTACAACAATGTAAATTAATACAAACTAAAAAGAAGAATAAAAAGAAAAATAGAAGGTGCAGAAAAGAAAAAATAAGAGTATAGTAAAGAAAAAGAAAAGAAATATATAAAGAAGTGACTTTTCATCACAAGTATAAACAATTTTAGTAAATTATCACCTTCTCTTAAAATGCAACAAATGATCTTTTCTTTCCATCTGCCATGCAAATCCAACCAATCCATAAAGCCCCCTTGATTCAGTTCTAATGTCAGCAAAAGTCCATTAAATAAGAGATAACAAGATATCTATTTTAATCTTGATCAAATAAACCAGCTCTGTGTTCCTTCCTTTTACTGCTAACAATATCGATCTTTAGTCCCTTCAAATAATATCCTAGAGCAGTGGTTCTCAACCTATGGGTCGGGACCCCATTTGGGGTCGAATGACCATTTCACGGGGGTCGCCAAACCATGCTGTCAGCCATTTTTTTCCCTTTTCCCTAGCTGTCCTACTCCCTCTTATTTGTGGCCATACCCACTTGGGGGTCACCACAACATGGGGAACTGTATTATGGGGTCACGGCATTAGAAAGGTTGAGAATCACTGTCCTAGAGCTTGTTTTGTTTTGATTTTTTCTTTGTCCCTTTTCACAAAATTCTTCAAAGCTTTAATGGGCCTCTTTTGTAAGTCCAATATTCAAAAGTATCCAGGTCACTCCATTGGTTTATTTATATATCCCTTTTAATTATTAAGACATCAGCTGATTTCCAATGTAATTCTTGTAGCCTGTCATTTTTAAATCCACTTTCAAATTGGTGTTGATCATGTCAAGTAATACTCTGCCATAATATTATTTTTTAATTTTAGTTTAATTTAAGCACAGTCTATTTATAGAGGCAGACACTTAAAATTAACCTTTAGGTCCATTGTTCAAAAATATCCTTTAGTTTGTCCAGTATTAAAATATTTTGCTTCATCCTGTATTAGAAAGTCAAGTGTTCGTCTCCTTTCATTGTAATCTTTAGTTCCTTCTAATTCCCTATAGTGTCCAGTTTTTAAAGTCATGTATTATGTTTTTTTAAGAATTTAAGATAAAAGCATTTTCCTATGGGAAGGATTCTTTATAATTAATTGCAAAATCTTATTTCAAATTGTCTATAGCTATGCTATCTTGAGCTCCTAGTTAGTATAGTGGACTGCCATTAGTGTAGGAAGAGTGCCTACCAGTAGTACTTTCCTACCAATAGTACTTTCCATAGTGCTTCCAGGGTAGGTAAACAAAGGAAACTAGTCCATTATGTTTGATGCTGCCTATTGGCAAAATCCTTGGGTAAGAATATCTTACTGCATGCCAACCCATGCAAATTCAACCAGTCTAAATAAAACAGATGTGCTTTATTTTCATGGCTGGAAATAAAAGTTGAAAAATATGGAGAGCACCCCATGGGAGTGTAAATGTTATTCTGTTATTCTTAATGGTGAAATAATTTGTTCTGTTAGTATCAGCAGGCTCTTATTGGCATTGGTTTGGAAAAAAAACATTTATGGTTTATTGCTCTGTGTGTGTGTGTGTGTGTGTGTGTGTGGGAGAGACAGAGAGAGAGAGAGAGAGAGAGAGAGAGAGAGAGATTGATTATTGTCTCTGCATTTCTTCACTCAACTCATCTATAGTATCCATCTGGTAGATTGAACTTAATCAGGTAATAAAGCAGTGGTTCTCAACCTGTGGGTCAGGACCCCATTTGGGGTCGAACGACCATTTCATGGGGGTCGCCAAACCATGCTGTCCATCATTTTGTTCCCTTTTCTCTAGCTGTCCTACTCCCTCTTATTGGTGGCCACACCCACTTGGGGATCACCACAACATGGGGAACTGTATTATGGGGTCCCGGCATTAGAAAGGTTGAGAACCACTGTAATAAAGGAATGGTCTGAAAAATCTCAGTGAGTCATAAACACTCTTCAGGTAGAATTGTATGCCAAGCCGTTTACTAATATATGTAGAGAAATAGAAGATCAACACTCTTTTCTCTAATATAGTGGATTATTTTTTTTATTGGTGTTATTTTGTCACAATACTCCAATGAAGATAAATAAACTCTTTCAGTTTTTTTTTCTTTTATTTAAATTTTTATTAAGTAGATTATTTTGGTGGTATTTACAGTTAGACACTGAGATCATGGGGAATTGTGCTGAAGCATGTGTGGCTTGTTTTATAACTTGTTCAAGAAATGTGAATACATATACTTACATTCTAGATCAAAACCATTTGCATAGTTTGGATGTGTTGGTTTATAACATTCACATACTCATATACAAAACACCCACACAGATACTTCAAAGTGTCATCAAAATCTTCCAGGAAGTATGGGCTTCTACTTAAATTTAGCTATGCTGTTATCCAGTGACTGAATATCAACCTCTGTAGAAGGTGGTAATGCTAGGGAAAGTGGAAGGAAAGAGAAGAAGAGAAAGACCAACAGCAAGTTGGGTGGATTTGGGGCAGAATTGGAAAACCTGAAGGACCAAGTTAGGGACAGATTGTCATGGAGAAAATCTTATCTAGATGGTTATTAAAAGTCAACACTACTTCGATGGCACAAAAATAAACAATGTTCTTAGCTCCCTTGTCCTAGTGAAGGGATCAAAGAATATCTTGCCATTCATGTAAGATTCATGGCAAGCCACCACCATTATTCTTTCTATATAATGATTTTGCTGTGAAGGAGCCTGCCCTTAGAAACCATACATTATGCACGCAGGAAGCACCGTATATTCTGCCTGAAGACACAAGCACATATGTTTACCTTTCCTTCACCCTCTCTTCAACCTCCCATAATAATAGCTAGGCATCCAACAGGGCAGGTGTGCCTGTTTCCTGGCAGATGATGTATGAGTGGCACAATGGCCCTTGGGTGCTCTTCGGTCTGGAGACTATAAATACAAAGTGCACTGCTTCCAATAGAACAGGAGAAATTAAATAGCTGCAGTACTGCTTTCTGTGCCTCTTTTTTTCTCGTCTGAACTCAAATATAAGTAGTCCTTGCTTAACAAATTGGGACTATTGGGACTAGCAACTCTGTCCTTAAACAATGCGATTGTAAAGCACAATGTCACATGACTGTGCCAACTTATGACAGCAACTGCGACAATCCCAATTACTGTTAATTAGGTGAATCCCATGTGGACACATCATCCTGCAGTCACATGATTACCATTTGCAACTTCCTGCCATCGACTTTGCATGTTGGAAGCCAACAGTGAAGGTCACAAATAATTACATGACTCCAGGACACTCTGATATCACAATTGTGAGCTGGTTGCCAAATGTCCAAACTACGATGATGTGACCATGGGAATGCTGCAATGGCCACAGCTATGGGGACCCATCACAGATTTCCCCTTGTAACTTTGAACAGTTGCTGGACAAGTGGTCTTTCAACAAGAATTACCTGTAAGTTCCTACTTCAGATGAGAAGTGTTGAATGTTCTTCTTTTGCCTCCAATTTGCTTTTTATCTAAAAAGCTTGGAAGTTTGCCTACCATTTGTCATTTTTGAATCCCCGGGACTGTTTTTCTGCTTTCTTACTTATGCCCATTGTGACTGGTCTCAGAGACTCTAGACGTAATTTGGGGGGGGGCAGGGGGAGAGGGGAAACTGAAACTAATGCAGGGGATTAAGACATGATTGAGGCAGCAGGACTTTCCAGAATGGCAGCTCTTCTTTCAGTGGAAGCTAAGAAACTCCTGCTCCTGCTGCTCATCCTGATAGGCAGAATTATTTCCCTCCACATAATTAATGTGCTTTCATGGGAGGAGAGGAAAGGTAGAAATCCTCACCAAAATGATCCCTGAAGCCATTGTTGACATTTTCGCGGGAAGCTGCTTCCTCCATGTAGCGGACATTAGCTGTTACCAGCTTTCTCTGCAAAAAGTAATCTTTTTTCATGTTCCTGTTCAAAGACCCAAATAACAGGACAGCCATTATGCGACAGTCTTCCATCCTGCAGCTGACCTATGCTCACCTGGGGGCTGACAAAAGCTATTCTCGGACCTCCTTTCAGATAGCGTGGTTGCTGTGGAGCAGCTTAGGCACTTTGGGGACATCCTGGAGGATGTACAGCACTAAGCAATCAGTTTCCCCTAAAGAAGTAGCCCACGTGTACTAGTTCCTGCTTACCTTTTGCCCCTAACGGTTGTGCTAAACCTTCAGCTGCTACGAGAGCAGAAAGGAGGCAGTGAGCCACTCTGCTTGGGCAGTGACGTTGAGAAAGAGCGAGTTTATGGATGTAAATGTTTCCATGAGGATGTGTTGTCCCCTTAGCTACGTGTCTTTTTTCAACATCCCTTTTGCCCCAGAAAACCCACATTTTATATGCTGCTCTTTCAAACAGTTTTTCAGAACCACTCACAAAGACTTTGCTGATCAGGAAATTAAAATTGGGGATGCAAAACTTGCAACCTGGTTCGAATGTGTATATTTGAAAGGAGTCTCTAATAGGCTGCCCCTTAGGAAGACATGTCCATGTGATTTCTATCCAGTGATAGAAGAGAGCAAGAGAAGAGAAAGGAATTGATGTGAAAATCTGGGCACATTCTTTTTTTATTATTAAAAAGTGTTATTAATAATTACATAATAAACCCAATAACCCCCCCTACCACCCCCACCCCCACCCCCCACTTCCCGGAACCAAATACAGGGTATATCAAACATATTAAACATAATCTAATTAAGTTAACAAATATATTAATCATAAGCTAAACAAATTTAACAATTTATACAACAATTATTATCATACTTAACCCTTAACTCCCTTTAAACCATATTATTAATAATACTTATTTTTTAATCATAAAATAAGTGGAACTTTTCAGTTCCATATTTAATCTGAATATAATCTATCCATCTTCTCCATACCATAATATATCTTTCTTGTGTATGATCCTTTAAATAAGCAGAAATTTTAGCCATTTCTGCTAAATTGGAAACCTTAAATGTCCATTCTTCTAATGTAGGCAACGAATCTTTCTTCCAATATTGACCTATCAATAACCTTGCTGCTGTAATTAAATTCAACATTAAAATAGTTTTTTTAACATCAAAATCCTCAAAAATCCCTAATAGAAATAGTTGAGGAGTAAACTTTATCTTCCTTTTAAAAATATTTTGAATGTTCCACAAAATCATAATCCAAAAAGCCTTAATATTTTTACAAGTCCACCAAATATGAAAATAAGTTGCATCAGAACTACCACATCTCCAACATTTGGGCTGTAAATTAGGATACATACAAGATAACTTTTTAGGATCCAAATGCCACCTATAAAACATTTTATAAAAATTTTCTCTTAAATTTTGAGCCTGTGTAAATTTAACATTTCTAATCCAAATTGTCACCCATAAATCCAATGGGATTGGTTCCTGAATATTCTGAGCCCATTTCACCATACAATCTTTAACCAATTCCGTTTCCGAATCCAATTCTATTAAGATATTATAAATTCTTTTTATATGAGCCTTGTTCTGATCTTTAATCTGTATTATCAGATTTTCATCTCCTAATGTTATCCCCACTCTCTTGTCTAAATTCCACCTGTCCACTATTTGTAAATATTGAAACCATGACTGTAAAATGTTCTCTTGTCTTAATACCTCCAAAGACTTTAATTGCCAATCATTACCTGACCATATAAGTAATTCCAATTACTTGTTCGTCTTCAGTTTTGCTAGCTTGAGGGGATACGGGCTACAGCCTTCAGAATGGTAGAATAAAAATCTTTTGTCTTTAACACTGTATTTAATCTGTAATGTGTTCCTAGGTAGTTCACCACTATTCCAGCTGGAATTTCCCATCTAAACTGGATTTGACGACGTTTAAGCTCCTCTGATAAAAAAATAAAATCTTTTCTTTTTCTTAAAATTTTGGGAGGTATTTCTTTTAAAATTATAACATCTTGATTTGCAATTTGGAATCTCTGTTTGTAAAAAGCTTGTATAATTTCATTGCGAATCAATCTTCTGGAAAAATATATAACCACATCGCTTGGAGCTCAGTATTAAATATTTTCCTCCAGGAGATCTTACATTAGATCAGTGTTTCTCAACCTTACATTAGATCAGTGTTTCTCAACCTCAATTTTAAGGCATGTGGACTTCAACTCCCAGAATTCCACAGCCAGCAATTGCAGGTCAGACCACTGTCTTTTTGGTAGCACTCATACTCAGTTAACTAAGGAGAAGGTGTCTGGAAAAACAACTTCTGAACAGCCACTGGACTAAAATGCCTTTTTTCAGAGTGGGAAGAAGGAGTGGGACTTCTTAGTTGGAGAAATGCACAGAGGTGTATTGTGCAAGTTCTGGCTTTCCAGTTTCTTTTTCTTTCTCAGGTAGTTTAGTTACAACATCTTGGTAGTGCCTGTGTTGCTTCAAGTGGGGAAAAGTGCATTCCCTACAGAAGAGAATTTTTCATCTGTGATTCCTCTGAGTTTCTTTTCAAGGTGAACATGTAGTACCTGTGTTAAATTTAAAAAATAGAGCTGGCTACTTTTGCCTTTGGGAAGGATTTTAATTTTGCTTGACCCCCATCTTGTGAGGATTGGAGTATTTTCCTTGTATCACATGGTTCGGTGTGTCTGTGCCTTTACAGCTGTGCTAAATTAAAATGTCTGCATGTGCTAAAGTGTGTGAATGGAGGCTTCCGAGATTCCAACTTCCCTAATCAGGTCACAGCTCCTGGAGGGGAAGCAAGCTGAATTGTTCTTGGGAATGAAGTTGGAAGGGAAGCTGCTGAAGCCCAGGGACACAAACGGAAGCTCTTCGTTCTCCCTGTTCTCTTTTCTTGCTTTATATTTAACATTACTCCTACCCTAAAGAAAATAAGTTGCCTTTAAAAAGAGCTAAATGTTTATCTGGTCCATAAGTAAGCAATGATCGAGGTGACTTGTATTGTGTTTCTTTAGTTTAATATAAAACTGTGGTGAATTTGAATTAAAGGAAGGGGGTCTTTCAGTTGCCTGAGGTTGACAAATCTCTAGTGTGAAATAATTTCCCTGTTGTTGTTTTTTTTTACTAAATTGCCACAACTAGGTCTAGTCCATTTCTTTGGCTCTGTTCATATTTTCGGTGTCCTAACTAGTAACAGGCCTAATATATATGAACCTCTCTGAGCAGATCAGAGGTCCAGTCCTGTCCACTTCTGACCTCTCCTCTCCTGCTTTTAGATTCATGAGACAATAATAAAGACTTCTCCAACCTTGAACAGTGAAAGCTGACTGAGTATGGAAAATATTATTTTCTCCCTTTATGATTTACCCCTTTTAAGTAGACGTAAAAGGATAAAAAAGGGAATCTTAGCCAACTTCATTCTATCTGTATTTCTCAGATATGCTTTATTTGAGAAGTTACCTCAGACAACAGTTTCAAAGCAGTGATACACAAATACCAGATTAGCTTTTTTTCCTGATCTAACTGAATAACTGATAAATAAACCTAGTCAATCTATGTAAATTACAAAGTTACAATAGTTTAATTTCTGTTAAAATCAAAAAATCATTGGCCAGTTAATGTCCCAGTTCCATTCTCAGTAAAGTTATGTTTGGGTATATGTTGGTTTCCTTCCATTTTTGGATTAAAATCTTCCTTGGGTTTTTTGTACATTCTGACCTCTCTCTCTCATTTTGACAACTTTCAGGGAAAAGATATCTTGACACAGAAGCTCCCATTATGGCAACAATCTTGTTCGGATCCCAACAAGATCCCAGACCGTGCTCTCCAGCTTATGCAGCAGATGGCCCTCAGCACCAATGGCTCAATTATGGCTACACCTCTGTCAACATCCAAGTCAAATCTCATCATCTCAGACCCTATACCTGGTGCCAAACCTCTCCCAGTCCCACCAGAGCTGGCACCCTTTGTAGGAGTAAGTATAAGATGGATTGATAAATTGGGAAGAGATGTCATAATTCATCTTTCAATAGAAAGATGTAGACTTGGCACTGGGGCATGTAACATTTTCTAAGTCAAAGCTACAGTGGTCCTTTCACTGGCACATTGGAAGCTACACACTTCTAAAGGTAAAGGGACCAAAATTAAAACTGATGTAGGTTTTGATTTAGTTTAAACCAGTTAAAATGACTATTGCACATTTAAGAATTTCCATAGAGCTTTGGGTATGTGATCTTATTTTGCTCAGATACAAAACATGGAGTGTTTTTGAATTAAGATTGCATCTTTGAAAGACATCTTTTTGGCAAGAAAAATAGGTTCCACTGCATTTATTCTGTAGAGTATAAACATGCCGGTTCATTTCTTGGCAAAATATGAAGTGCTAGTCATTACCACAAAAGCCTAACAAACCTATTTGAGACCTTTTTTCTGTTTGAACCTCCATGCTTACTATGATCATCTGAGGGAGTTTGCCATCATCTAAGGAGGCAAATTCATCTGGTGGCATTTTGGGTTCAAGCCTTCTCTGTTGCTGCCCCAGTCATTGGAGTGTACTCTCTACAGAGTTAAGGAGGCTAACAGCATCATTAGATTTTAAAATGGCCTCTTTTGAAGTAGCAGCCTGACAACTCATAACTTCATAACTCCTGCAACGTGCTGTACATGATGCTGGCTTTCAAGACTACTGAGAAACTGCAGAAAGCAGCTGCCCACTTGCTGGCAAATGAGAAGCACCACAGCAGTATCACACCAGTTCTGCAGGATTTGTGTTTGTGGCCAGCAGGTTTCCAAGTACACTTCAGAGTCCTGTATTAACCCAATTGGTGATGGTATTTACATACTTGGATTAGCTCCCAGTTACCTTCAGGACATTAACTTTTGGAAAGAAAGAATTGGCCTATCCTGGATGTTCAAGATGAGAAGGAATGCTTTAATTATTTTCCCTTCAAGAGACAAGACAGGTGGAGATGCAAATGAGATGTTCTTGTTGCTCTTCCATCACTTGGGAATAGCTTTATCCCCTTGAGACCAAGATTGGCCCCACCTGGTCTGTTTTAGGAAGGTGGGCATTGGAGCCTAGCAATCTACAATTTAGGATTGGGGGGGATTTTAATTGGCCTTTTCACTATTTTAATGTCTCAGTTTTAAATTTTAAGTGTACACTGAAAGTAGTATATTAAGCTATAATAAATAATTAAAATACAATTTAAAATATATTGTCATAAGAAGGCTCTCAGGCAGCCTTTTTTGTTCATTCTTGAAAAACGAGGCACCGGAGTTGAAATCTGTTGATATATGGCTGATAAACTTGCACAAATCAGTAACTGACTGTGATCCAAATTTACATCAGTCTTCAAAAGCTGAATTTAGTGGCCATAGGAAAATTGGGTGATTAAGAGAACTTATGCTTCCTCCTGCTGAAGGATTTGGGTTTGCACTTAAGCCAGAGGTGTCAAACTTGCAATGTCACATGACGTGTTGTGACATATCATGACTTTTTTTTCTATTGCGGGCAATGGGATGGGCACGTTTTCGGCATGATGCATCCAGCCAGCTGGCTGGCAGTTTGATACCCCTGACTTAAGCAATTCAGGGCTCTTTGGTTTTTCTTTTCATTACCTTGCATTGATGATTTCCCCAGCTGCTGTCTAAAACCCATTTATTCAGTCCAATTCTACAGCTGTAATATGATAACATCTGGGGCAGGCTGGCAATGAACTGTGTGAAGAAATTCTAAGTTACACAGATTTGCAAACCTGAACTCAAAGAAACTGAACTCACAGTACTCTGATGTAAGACGCTAAGAAAAAGACACAGGCATGTCTTGAGCAGAGGTTTGAAGCTGCAGGACACAGCTTGACAAACTCTGAGTTTGCTTTTTATATACTTATTACATACACCAGCTTAACCATTAGATGCTGACAAAGGTTTCTTCATTGGAAAATGTCTTCATGTAAGCAACTATTTTCTAGTAACATATTACATGGTCAAAGACCAGGTAAGAACAAATACAGGTAGATAAAAAGGAGAAAGAACTGACAAAGACAGGAAAAGATAGGAAGGAACTTAAGCATATCATCTGTTTAGGTAGGTGAGGCATTAAGTCAAAAGTGGATGACCTTCTGGCTGCTTCATTAGGACAAAGGGTATCAAAAGATTATGAGGTTTGTGGGGGGGAAAGCACAGCAGTTTGCTGCATGTGCATTTTTCCCCACACTCTGACAGATATTATACAGTGTGGTATATCCTGGTAAGTGCTTATATCCTGCTGTCGTATATTTTGGCATGTCCTTCTAGGCCAGGGGTAGGCAACCTTGGTTCTTTTATGACTCGTGGACTTCAACTCCCAGAACCAAGGTTGCCTACCCCTGGCCTAGGCAAAGTTGAATATCTTCAAGCTAGCTCAAGAAGCGCCATGGTTCGATATCATATTACAGGTAGTCCTCGACTTACGATCACAACTGAGCCCAAAATTTATGTTGCTAAGCAAAGCAGTTGTTAAGTGAGCTTTGTCCCATTTTATGACTGTTCTTGCCACAGTTGTTAAGTGAATCACTGCAGTTGTTAAGTTAGTAGCCCTGTTGTTAGGTGAATCCAGCTTTCTCATTGACTTTACTTGTCAGAAGGTCACAAAAGGTGATCACACGATCCCGGGACACTGCAACTGTTATAAATACATGCCAGTTGCCAAGCATCCGAATATTGATCATGTGACCACTGGGATATTGCAACAGTCGTAAGTGTGAAAAAACGGTCACTTTTTTCAGTGCCATTGTAACTTTGAATGGTCCCTAAATGAATGGCTCTAAGTCAAGGACTATCTGTACAGGTTTAAGCCATTTGATGGGACCATTTATTTCCACAATTTGCCAGTCAAAAAAGACACTGCGCTCCATCTTTTGCTCCTTAATCGGTAATTGTTCTTTCCAGCTTTCTGCCAGGAAAAATAAAAATAAAAAATAAGGAGGTAGTGGTGGGAAAAATGAAAGGGCAGCACGATGTAGACTCCCTGTAATATTCTGTGAACAAGGCAGAACAGTTGTGCAAAACAAACACTTGTATCAAGAGCATCCTATTTGTGTTTCTCTCTCCTTCTCCCCCCCACCACTATTTCTCCAGCGAATGTCTGCACAAGAGACTATTCCAGTAATGAATGGCGTCTCAGGCTCGGAAGGTGAAGATTACAGCCATTGGTCTGACCGAAAGCCTCCTCAGCCGAAGTCCTTATCTCCACCACAAACTCAAAAGCAACTGAGTGACTCTTACTCCAATACTCTCCCTGTGCGCAAAAGCGTAATGCCGAAAAACAGCTATGCAGCCAGTAAGTCATTCTTGTAAGAGATTATTCCTCTCTCCCCTTCCCTCCATTTTGGAGGACCAGGTATGTCAGATCTCACAGAGCAACACAGTAGGAGAAAGGGCCTAAAACAACTTTCTCCAGGCTTTCCATGTATGCAAAGACCTCTGGGTCCCTAAATCCCCAGCCATCACAGCAGTCCCAAGAGATCTGGATTATCCCAACTTGGAGAAAGCTGGCATAGAAGCACAAAAATGGCCCCAACTTCTAAAAGCATTTCTTATGTTGAGTCTTTTAAAGGGTCCAGCTAGAACGCCTATCTTTCTGCTTGGTAGAAACAAGAAAAGGTATTGAGAAGGCACTGAAAATTTGGGGAGCTAAGAAAGCTCAAAAAATTGCATCAGGTTGCTGACATGTAGGCGGGGCTTTGTCAGAAATTAATTAGATGTGCTTGTTTCTTATTTGCAAGCCCTTACACAGTAGAAATGGATGAGTCAGATGTTTGCACGTACCTGAAGAAGGCTTTTTCCTACAAAAGCTATGAACAACAAAGCTGTTTCTCCAAAGTGCTGCAGAACTCTCAGTTCTTTTGCATCACACTGCAATGTTTTTTATCTTCTGACTGAAGTAAAGCTGCCTTTGTTTGAGTCAGGCTGAACTTGATGAGCACAGTTTGCAGCATTCCTGACAGCACCAGAGAAGTAGTTTTCCACTGCTACCTGCTGGGATGCTAGCTTCCAGGCTAGTCAGTAGCACAAGCGTTTCATGAAAGTCTCTCGTCCAAGGCCTTCCCAGGCCTTCCCTGTTTAGCCCGGAGCTCAGAGAAAATCAGCCAGAGGCTAACACCTATAGTACTGAGATTATGTGGGCCCTGATACTACTGCTGTATGGCTTGGTTCCAGCGGGAAACAAAGTACTTATTGCATGGGACATGATGAGGTTACTATATTATTATTTATTTATTGAATTTATATAGCCACCCATCTCACGCCTGTGACTCTGGTTGGCATCCACACAATTAAAACACAGAGCTAAACAATCAACATAATTCAAACAGAACCATTAAAAGAACCATGAAAAACAAAAATATAATTTTCATTGCTTCCTTTTATGCCATAATTACTATTAATCATTTTACACAATGCACAGGTATCTAGCACTAGCTAATGTTTGTTTTTAAGAGCAGTACATCATATCTGTGTGGGTGTTTTACCAGGAAATTCAGTATTTTCTTTTGCTTTACAAATTCATTGACATTTATAATTAAGAGATGATAATTTTACTACCTTTTAGTCACAGTTGTGAAGTGAATCACTGCAGTTATTCGGTGAATCATGTGGTCATTAAATGAATCCGACTTCCCCCATTGATTCTGCTTTTCGAAAGCTGTCTGGGAGGGTTGCAAATGGAAATCACATGTCCTAAATATATGCTGGTTGCCAGCACCTGAATTTTAAACACATGAATGTGGGTATGCTGTGAGAGTCATAACTGTGAGGACCAGTTGTAAGTCACTTTTTTCAGTGCTGCCGTTGATTTCAAACAGTTACCGAATGAATTTGTGAGTCGAGCGGACTATCTGCACATCCACAATCCACAGTCTTTTGTTTTTCGAAAAAAAAAACATTTGACAAACTTTCTCTGGTAACTGAAGTATTAGCGAAGAAGTATAATAACAGAAAAGGGTTTATTTATTGAAAAGAGTGGACTCAATCTCTGTCTTGTCTTTCAGCTGAAAACAAGACTCTTCCCCGTTCCAGCTCCATGGCAGCAGGACTAGAAAAGAATGGCCGGACAAGAGTGAGAGCCATCTTCTCTCATGCTGCTGGGGACAACAGCACCCTTCTGAGCTTCAAGGAGGGGGACCTTATTACATTGCTAGTGCCTGAGGCCCGAGATGGCTGGCATTATGGAGAGAGTGAAAAGTCCAAATTGTGAGTATGCTTGTTAGTGTGTGGGTTTCAAAATCGGTTTTTCTTTTCTTAAGGTGTCTTCTTTAGCATTCGGTTGCTTTCTTAGCACAGCGGCCGGCAATAACGATGTTACGGACTGTAACTTTTAAACCTCTCAGAGCCCCGGAAGGGAGATGCCAATTGCCTACTCTGAGCCATCCTCCCACACACAAAGCCACACTGCCTTTTGTTCCCAAGGTTCAGGGGTACAATCTGGGGTGGCTGTAGACAGAGCAAAGAAAGCATGGGCTGTCTCAGGTGTGACCCTCTTTGTCATTTGGGTCTTTTCCCCAGTGTGGCCTTGCTGCAGAAATTGCAACAAGAGTTCCAGCATTTTGCATCTGTGCTAAAAAGCCAATGCAAAAATCAGAGGAAGAGAGGAGAGAAACACTGCAAGTCTGATGGACTTTGAGCCTAAGACAAATTATTGTTCTTTATGCTTAAAACGTAGTGTGACTTTCCAGTGAACTTTTTTTCCTTACCCTGATTTGGAAATCTTTGCTCTGGTAGCCAAAAGTGAAGTTGATGTGCCAAGAAGTGGAATGTATAATAAACAGTTCTGCCCTCGACAACACAGCTCCCACGCTGGGGAATGCCAGAAAAAAAAAGAAGAGGGAGAGCAGAAATTGCAGGCTTTTAATTCCTGGAGAGTCTGTAGCGTAACTAGGAATAAAAGCTGTCACTGGGGTGGACTGGTCCAGCAGGTTTGCTTTGGCATAATAGGTTTGCTTAAGATTAGGGCAAAAAAAGTCTTCCTTGGCAACAATTGTGTAGGTAAGCTCCTTCGTAGATACTGAATATTTATCCATTTTTTTCTTCCCTCCTTCCCCCCATCTCGATATTTAAAGGTCTAAATCTGGAGCTGCAGTCTTTTTCATTTTGTTCACTAAATATAGCCACCATACCTTTACTCTTTCGTCCATGCAATTTGTGACTGGCTTTACAACAAATGCCAGTTGCCAAGCAAATGGTTGGCTTAATTAGCAGAACCAGATTAGGAAGCCTTAGAACTGGAGGGCAGTCATGAGAATGGAAGTCTGCTGACCTGCCATTCCTTTTTTTAGCCCAAGTGAACGTTCATGGGGTGAGCCGGAAAGCTGGCAGGGTGTGAAACTAGGTGGCTGGTGAGACTGTGCACAATAAACTCGGGCAGGAGGCTAATCTTGCTTCACAAAGTAAAAGCACAGATGGCAGTAAGATGCCCGTGGCCATTTGGGGAGCTGCCCCATGTATTGGCAGCATTCTTTTAAAAGATCCAGGATTAACTCATTCTAGATCAGTGATTCTCAACCTTTCTAATTCCGTGATGCCATAATACAGTTCCCCATGTTGTGGTGACCCCCAAGTGGGTGTGGCCACCAATAAGAGGGATTAGGACAGCTACGGAAAAGGAAAAAAAATGGCGGAAAGCATGGTTTGGCGACCCCCGTGAAATGGTCATTCGACCCCAAATGGGGTCCCGACCCACAGGTTGAGAACCACTGTTCTAGATACAGGTAGTCCTCCACATACAAGCTCAACTGAGCCCAACATTTCTGTTGCTAAGCAAGACAGTTGTTTATGAGTTTTGCCTGATTTTATGACCTTTCTTGCCACAGTTGTTAAGTGAATCGCGGCAGTTGTTAAGTTAAGTAACACCGTTGTTAAGAGAATCTGGCTTCCCCACTGATTTGCTTGTCAGAAAGTCACAAAAGGTGACTTTGAATGGTCACTAAACAAACTGTTGTACGTCGAGGACCATCTGTACTCAAATGCTACCTTCTGTTATAATGTCCCCCTCTTACTGTAACACATGTACTGAATATGCCTCCAGCCCTTTTTTTGCATCACCACCCTGTTACACGTTCCCAAAGCCACTCTGCTAAAGTTCACTGGCAAACCACCCACATTCAGTAATGTGACATTTTGAACATTTTTAAAAAAACAATTAACGGATAAAGTATACATTCAATTCTTTATCAATCAGTCTGAAGACACTTCTACATTGCTAGTGCTTTCACTCCCCAAATTCTCAGCTGCAATCACACTTCTTGGCTACCATGAAGCTTGCCGGTGCCTCTGCCCGGCTGGCCAATGGGAGGGGAGTTCAAAAATGGCTGCTCATCTGGTGTCTTATTGCCTCCTCCCTCCCTCCTTGCCTTTGCTTGCCTGCCTTTGTTTTCTGGCAAGGAAAAAAAATGCAAAGTTACTGCATTGAAGCAGCAAAGCTGTCACATTGGCAGGGTGGGGAAGGATAGCAAGGTGTAGTGGCTTCCTGACTTTGGGAGGAGTGTGAGGAATCCAAGAAATTGGAAGGCAAGATGAGGCAAGAATTCCCACCACTGGGAAATAACTATCTTCTGAAAGAGCAGCTGATCTGGGAGTAAATTGCTCACCTGCCAAAGACCTTCCATGACTGACAGAGTCAAGGGCACAGAGAGACACTGCACTGATTCCAGATTGGTGCAGTTCATGCCTATGGAAGGGACCATGTTTCTAAAAAGCTGTCCACGGTTTCCCTACACTTTGAAAGAAGCAGCCAAACAATTCATCCCCGGGCCTCCATCACCTCATCACCATTCTTCCTGAATCTGCTGGAGATAATAAGAATTATAGGAAGAAAGGGTGACAACCCCCCCCCCAACCTTGCTATTGTCATGTCATAGAATGGAATGTAAATAACCTGGTAAGCATTTTGAAGTTACAATTTCTTTATTGGTTTTTTTTTTAAAGTCCTTCTTTCAACTGGAGGATATTTGATTTATTCAAATATTCAAATAGGATTAAAAATTAAGAGGCATTCTGGATTCTTCCCATAGAAAATGGAAATCCCAGGAAAAGCTTTGTGGGTACTCAAAAGGTAGTTCAGTGAATAGGGCTTTTAAATAGTACAGATATGTGATGAAATATGCAGCTGGAGAAGGGGGGGGGCATGTTGGCAAGAGCACTGTGGCTTCCCCGGGAAGGGGCAGCACGTTCCAGAGAGAGGCCCGAAACAAGAGACAGACCAGGAGAGGGATAGGGGAGGTAGGAAGAGGTTCAGAGTAGACACACCAGGGTATAGCTTTAGTCTGGCAAGGTTCTGTTTATTAAATAGTTGAAAATAACAACTTTATTGTCACTTTGAATGTACACCAATCAGCATACACCAAAATGAAGTTTCGTTGCATACTGCTCTCAAAGGGCCACCACCTCCGATATGCACTCCTTGTTCGTGGCTTCCAGCTGAAGTTTCAGATCGTCCATTTTAATCTCTAGGGGGCGAACGATGGCAAACGGGACAGATAGAAACGGAGCTCTGTGTGGATTAGCCCTCAAATTAGATTGTATTCCTGCACAACAACCTCATAACGACAACCTCGCCTCCTGTACTATATACTATTATAAATATATTATATTATATTTATTATTATATACATTATAAAGCCTTAGTAAGACCATACTTGGAATACTGCATCCAGTTTTGGTCTCCATATTCGAAAAAAAGATGTAGAAACTCTAGAAATAGTGCAGAAAAGAGCAACAAAGATAATTAGGGGTCTGGAGACTAAAACATATGAAGAACGCTTGCAAGAATTGGGTTTATCTAGTTTAGTGAAAAGAAGGATTAAGAGTGACATGACAGACGTATTCCACTATTTGAGGGGCTGCCACAAAGGGGGGGTCAATCTATTTTCCAAAGCACCAGAAGGCAAGACAAGAAACAATGGATGGAAATTAATCATGGAGAGAAGCAACCTGGAGATAAGAAGAAATTTCCTAACAAGTAACCAGATGAAACGAATAAAGAACAGGACTTCACTGGATCTCACTGTGTCGTCTTTAGGCTTAGGGCTGACAAGAGAGTATCTGTTGTGCCTCTCTTTCTCTGACACATTCTGTTTTCTGCTTCTCCTGTCAATCGTCCAAACTGAGGTTATAGTGGGAACACAGGCAAGATTGGTTTATTTTGACCACATTGCTAGGTTTTGAGGCTTAAACGTCCTGGAAATTTCTACAATGTATTGAGAGAAGTAGGCTATCTGTAGCTGAAATTCAAGAATAGGCATCTCTGTTTTGACTACAGAATACTGAAATTCTAATGGCTTAACATCCCTTCTTCAGTATCCCCTTCACTGAATGGGGGGGGGGAAAAAAAACCTTGGATATATTTTTTTCTTTTTTTCTACCTGTGTTGCAGGAGAGGCTGGTTTCCTTTCTCCTACACACGTGTGCTGGACAGCGATGGGAGCGATAGATTACATATGAGGTAAGAAAGTTCTTTTGATGGATGCAGTGTAATCATCGGACATTTGAATAATGTTTATATTCAAACAGACAAGCCCTGTGTGTTTACTTAGCCAGAAGCGGTATCTGTCCTGCATTGCCCTCTTCTGGCTTATCTTTCAGGAGGAATTTTATTAGACTGGTTTCATGTTTCTTGAACTAAGATTTCAGGCTTTGCTGTGAAAATACGTGTGCCCGTGTATTTGTACACACAGAGATACATATATGTGTGTGCACATGCATGTATGATCTGGAGCAAGCCAGTGTGAATATATATTTGCTGGAAAAAAGTCTTGACAGTGTTTCATATGGTGAAACGTAATGAACACCTAGGGCCTCAGATGGAAAAGCTCCAGGCCTTGGTGGTGACAGGGGGAGGATGTTACCTTAGTGATTCTGAGCAGGCTCCCATAGGGAAAGACGTGTGGGAGTAAGAGAATCTGAAGAATCCTAATTTTGTCTGCATGCAAGGAAATGAGCCGAGATTTAATGGCTTATAAAGTGTACTCTCTTTGCACAGTTTTGCCACAGAGGAGATGCTGACTAAATGTATTTATGTCTTCAGCCAGGGGAAAAGCAGTAGTACAGGTAACCTGTTGGACAAAGATGATATCCCCCCTCCAGATTACAGCATGTCCTCCCGAACTTTCCAGTCACCGAATGTCAGCACTTTCAAACAGAGGCCGTACAGCATGGCAGTGCCAGCATTCCCCCAGGTGAGACACTTTTTCAGCTCGGAGGAGAGGAGGCGTAACCATTGTGAGCGAATACGCCGATCAGGAGGGGCTCTGCCAGAGGTAGATTCTAAGGCTCCATCAGTGGAGAAGGAAGGTGGTAATCAGCATTCTGCGGGTGTCAGGGGTACATTTCTTGTACTTCTGGTTGGGTATGATTTATCTTTTACTAAAAGTTTGCAATGGTTGCTGACCATCAAAAACACGGCTTAAATCAAATGGAAGCATGGATTGGTGAGAATTAAATGGGCCTTAGATCATTTAAATATTAGGAAGAGTAAAGGAGGAATTGGCACTGCAACTTTTTCTACAGCTGGTACAACAAAATGAGAGGGTTCTAGCTGAGTCACACTTTGTAATTTGGGTAATAAGCCATAGAAGTCTGGTTCACAGACTACTAAGCCATAAACATGGCTCAGCACAGTGTGTGAGTGAAACTATGAACTGTGGTTGAATGGAACAAACTTGAGATTAGCCCACCAATGGACTACCAGCTCTTGTTTTCAATTAAGCCAACTTGTAATATCTGTCTGAACTCATTATTTTTCCCTGTAGGATAGAGAGGTCTTGTGATGAGATGCTTGATTCTGTGAACATTTCTTTGGGCTATGAGCAACAAGATTTTCAACTCTTCCCCCCCCCCCTTATCATTGGAGTTTATATCTATCTGAATTGATTGGATCCTTGTGGTGCTGTTTGTTAGTAATGCTATTGATACCTCTTTCTATTGCCTTCAAAATTGTTTGAAAACTTCTTCTACAAAGTTGAAGGCTAGGATGGGAAGTCAGTAAACCCACTTCCTTTGATATAGCAGTTATTCTCCCTTCTTTGTGCTAAACTGCAAAGTTATCTTCCATATGCAACCCAACAATCAAATGACGTTACAGTTGCCATTATGTTTTGAAGCTGATCGCCAGAAGGAAACTTGGACCAAAAATCAAAGATGCAGTGTGCACATTGTGGGTAGGCAAGAGAGGCTGCCTTGCTAAATGGTGGGAAACTGATCAAGGAGAGAAGCAACCTGGATTTAAGGAGAAACTTCCTGACAGTGAGGACGATCAACCAGTGGAACAGCTTGCCCTCAGAAATCGTGGGCACCCCATCACTGGAGATCTTTAAGAAAAGACTAGGCAATCACTTATCTGAGATGGTGTAGGTTCTCCTGCTTAAGCGGAGGGCTGGACTAGAAGACCTCCAAGGTCCCTTCTATTATTATTATTATTATTATTAAAAGTAGCTCTGGTTGCACCATTGCTGAAGTGAACATTCCTAAAAAATTCTGTTTCGTTACACAGGTTTTTGTACAAGCAGGTGAGGCTTTCTGGCCAACGTTGCTTGTATTCATTATTTATAGGAGTACCTTATGCCCTACGGTTGTGCAATAAATGAATATTCCCGTGGCCTCTTCCCAGTGTCACCCGCTTCCTACCAGCCTTATTCTAGGTCAACAGCCGTAAGTCCCAAGAACACAATGTTTCCATTGGGGTTTCGAAAGCCTCTTTTCTGCCTCCAGTGTCTTTGTGGCTTACCTAACACACGTGTCCTGGCTCCACACCTCTCCCCATCCTCCTCAATCTTAAGAAGCCGGTGAGATGAAAGGCTTCTTCAAAAAAAACAAAATGAAAACAGCTGTCAGAGAAGCAAACAGGAGTAGAGATAAAGAATTAATGGATTGGCAAATTAGTGATGGGTAAGGCAGAAAGACTGGCAGTAAAGGGCAATGTAAATACCCAACTGGTAACATATGGCTGTTCTACAAGTATCTAGCTGCAGAATTCAATGGTTCGTAGGCCAACAATGCTTATTTTTCCCCATCCTCTTTCCCTTGGACCTTCCACGTGGGGTCTCTGGAGGTTTGAGAAGATTAAACACCAGCTAGTGGGTGGATGGAGACAAGGAAAATAAGCTGAGGGACATGGAAACAGAGTGTGCACATTAGTAGGCAAAAGGGGATGGGTGAATTTAATTTTGTTGGAAAATCACATTAAGATGTTTATCTCCTATCAAGGGTAGCACACTGAGAAGAATGTTATCAGACCAAGAATACTTAGCATTAGAATGAAGGCACAATTTTTGGCTGTAAAGAAGTTACGCTGTCAGAGATTTTCTAAGCACAAGAGTCCATCCTTTTCTCAGGATCTTTAGAATTAAATATCTATGTCAGCGTGTGCTGTGAAGAGATAAGTTGCAAAATAAGAGTGGCTTTGGCTAGAAAAATGTTGGATGTCTTTAATGGCGAGCTTTGATTCTCAAGTCATTCATTTGGAAGCCACTTTTTCTCTGGCTAGACACATGTCAGAGGAAAAGATCACAGCAAAAGAAGAATGTGCCTTATCCTTAATACACCCACATACCAATTAAGAGGCTACTGTGGTACTGTTTGAGTATATTTGAGTATAGTCCCTCCATTTCAACTACAGGCTATCAGTCCTGAATGGCTGACATCTGATCTAAAATTGTATGTTTTTGTCTAGAATATTTATTGCCGTAATCAGGTGAAAACTTTGTACAAGTACTGTAGTTGAGCCAAATATCTTCATAGATCTGAACAGGAGTAAGGGTATGTTAGTTCAGGCTAGGGAAAAATCCCTAGAACAGGGGTAGGCAACCTTGGCTCTTTTATGACTCGTGGACTTCAACTCCCAGAATTCCTGAGCCAGCATGGCTCAGCTTGGAAACCTCTCTCATTCCCCTCAGCATGGCTGGCTCAGGAATTCTGGGAGTTGAAGTCCACGAGTCATAAAGCCAAGGTTGCCTACCCCTGCCCTAGAACTATCCAAGAGTATGATTCCCTTTACATCAAGAATGGGGAACCGGCGGCTCTTCAGTTCCCAATAGTTTCATTACTGGATGACGCTGGCTGTGGCTGCTGGGAGTTGGAGGTCAACTATATTCAAAGGCTGACAGTTTAGTGCAGGTAGTCCTTGACTTATCACCATTTGCTTAGTGACCATTCAAAGTTACAGCGGCATGGAAAAAAGTGGCTTTTGGCCAGTTTTCAAACTTACAACCGTTGGAGCTTCCCCATGGTCACCTGATCAAAATTTGGCAACTGGCGTGTATTTATGACCATTGCCAAGGGCCCCAAGGTCATTGGATCACCTTTTGCGACAAGCAAAGTCAATGGGGAAGCCAGAGTCACTTAACAACCATGTAACCGCAGTGATTCATTTAACAACTGTGGCAAGAATGGTCATAAAATGGGGCAAAACTCACCAGCTGTGTTGCTGAGCAGCAAAAATTTCCAGCTCAATTGCGATCACGTGTCAAGGACTACCTGTATTCTGTTATACAACATAGTAGGACTTAAATATGATTCATTCCTTCCACAGTAGCTGTATGATTAGACTTCACCCAAAAGGGAAAAATAAGCACTTTTATTTTATTTTTTTCTTCTCTTCCCTGGATGTATCAGAGAACAGCGATGAAAGTAGCAGGCTGCATTTCGCTGTGCATGGCTGCTTTGACTTCATCTGTTCTACCTCTCTGAAGAGAAGATGATGATATGCAAAAGGGATGGAGGATGCAGCCTCTGGTGCCTTCCTCCATCGGGAACTGAAATGCTATCAAGCTGCATTCACCACAGTGTGTTTTTGCAGTGTGCATAGCATTTTGCACAGTCCCATTTTAGCATCCTGCACTGCATGTCTTTAAGTTGGAGGCTGTTTTTAAATCTCATAGATCTGCTATACAAGATCACCCTCTGGTGAAACAAATGTGTTTTGTTTTGTTTTGTTTTTTGCCAATATCTTTTGTCATACTTTTGAGACCAAGTACTTTGACTATGCCTTGGAAGGCTGTTGGGACAAGGCAGATGCATAACTTTCCATTGCTATCTTTGTGGCAAAAACCTTATGGTTCCATAGCTGATGCCTTCCCCCCCCCCCTTGTTTTTTTTTTCTACAGGGACTGGATGACTATGGGGCAAGACCCTCAAGCAGGTAAGATCCTTCATTTTCCAATCTGTGATGGGTCTACAAAATTAATTTCAATATGAGAAGCTGAAATTTGGGCAAAAGTTTAAAAGTGATGTCAAATGCAATTTCTGGTGGTTTCACTGACATGCCCTATATAGCATCTTAAAAATTATACAGAAGTTGATTTTTTTTTTTAATCTTCTTAGTCTAGCCTGCAGCTCTGCAATTTTTCCCATTAAAGTCTAACCTCCCAGGTCCAGTCTTGCATTAGCTTTCTTAGATCAGCTACATAGCCTGGCAGAAGCTTGAATGAAAGAAATTCCCACAGAACCACATGTTTTTAAAACGTGCAGGAACTGTGAGTCCAGGGGCCAAATCCTCTGTTTTCTGAGTAAGAATTGGCATAATTGCTTGCAATTTTGGAGTGGATTTGGTCTGGGCTGTTCACAAAAAGGATATATATTTCTTGAATTGAAATGCTTCTCATACATATATAGCCCACGCGATTTTCCCTTTCAAGGTAGCCAGTATTATGCAAAATGCAGAAAATGTTTATGCACCTTGCTCAGACTCATTTGAGTGGGCTGTATAAAATGCTGCAAATAAATAACAAGGAATGTCTCATTATTCTTTTCTGTCTTTGTGGCCATGACTTCTGCTATATCTATTCCTCACTTCATACATTCATTCTTTAAACTTCTCACCTCTTTTTTGAAGGTTCTTGTCAACTGCATCCAGTCACGTCTTCCTTGGTGTTCTTCCTCTTAATCCATTCACTCTTCTTCTTTTTTTTCTATAAATTTTGTTCATTCTTTCAATTCATTTCTTTCCAACTGGTCACCTTTTTTGCAGTTAGTTCACATTTATGTCCATACATTCTTGATCCTATCTCTTCTTGTTTTTCCAAAATAATTATACCCATTGTATTCAACTGACTTTTATTTTTTTCCTGACATTCCCAACTCTTACCTCCACATAACTAAATAGCTGAAAGGACATCTTATAAACAGCTATTATCATCTCAGTTCACGTTCATTCCTCCAGTCTAAGTATTACCCATTAGTTTTCTGTTATCAACATTTGCATAACTTAAGATTTCTTCATTCATTTTCTCATCTTTAATTCTGCCAAAATACACAAATTCATCTACTTTTCCTGGTGTGTGTGTGTTTGTGTGTGTGTGTGTGTTTTATTTATGAATAAATTGAATTCATTCACTTCAGAAATCACTCTTTTTTTGCCCACTCATGGTTATTCTGTTTCTCTGTTTAGGTAAGGAAATATCTCTGAAAAATGACCCAATGGGTCACAAATTGTCTAATTCCTTATATATTTATTCATAAACACATTAAACAACTAAGGGCACAGCATACATCCAGATCTTACTCCCTAATAAATGTCGAAACATTAATTAATTAATTTACTCTACTGGAGGCTCCTTTTCACCCACTTCCAAAACAATTTTGATTCTCATCAAAATTACTTTGTATTTTCTTGATTTTTCCTTGCTCTCTTCTTTGTAATCATCCCATTTCTCGGTACATTGTACAATATCAATGTACGATATGCTTTTTGCCGTGGTCATTCTTGTTTGTGCTTTTTCTCATGCCCGGCTTCTTTCACATCATCATTCCATAAAGTATCCTTTTTCATTCTTCCTGTTAGTCAATCTAAAAAGGAGAATGAGCTTTATTGAATGTCACTGTGTTAATTATTATAGAGCTTCCCCTGCTGTGTGTAGTAATAGGAAAATACGACTATTCTTTATGTTGCATTGCAATTCATGCAGGGTAGTAGGAATGCTCAACAGACATGGTTGGCACAATGAATTAACTGAATGTGCACCACTCGTGTCTCATTTTCTGCAGTGCATTCATGAGTCATTTGTTCAGTGGGATACAACTTCAGTTTTAAATGCAATATTTCCAGTTAGACAAACTACAATTTTTTTTTTAAGCAGGAATGAATAGTAGACTCCACATTTTGCTCTTCTGGCATCTCTAGTTGCATATTTTTTTAGACTTACTGTTGTTTTTTTTTCCCCCTGTGGCCTTCAAACTGAGACACAGTGGTGGAAATGCCCCTTACAAAACCAGGAATGAATGCAAAATCCATATCCAAGCAATTAGAAGCAACAAAGATGTCACAGAACAGCAACCTGTTCTTCTTTCCTGTTGTTTTTTGAGTATGGCAAGTTGGCAAGTACTTCTAACATAGTGGGTTCTGCTGCTAGATGGAGCCCAAGAGAAGCTACCTTTTCAGAGTTGCAATGAAGCTGCCAATAGTCTACTCATTGCTTCCTGCCCACCCTCTCTCTGCCCTTGCTTCCTAATTCCAATATCAATGTGTTGCACCTTACTTGGTGCTCTTCCATCCACTCTTGGTTATTACTTCTCTCTCTCTCTCTCTCTCCCTCTCTCTCCCTCTCTCTCCCTCTCTCTCTCCCTCTCTCTCTCTCTCTCTGCGAGTTTGGGTGAATTGTGTGCTTTTTCTTTCTGTTCCACAGCGGCAGTGGCACGTTGGTATCTACAGTGTGAGAGAAGGAACCTTGACTAGAAATGGCAGCTGCTGCTTGGAAGACTTCTTTGTTTTGCTTCTCTGTCCCCTTCATTTCCTTCTTTCTTCTGAGATGCACATTTTTCCTCCTGCCTGTCCTGTTTTCAAAGCAACAGTGCCAGCTCCTTCTCTCACCCCTGAGACCCTGAGGACCACTCCTTGAGGAACCCTTGGAGCTGCTACTTCCCCGTCCCCCGGTATTTGCAACCAGCCATTTTGGAGCAGAAAAATGTCCAGATAAGGAATGTTGGTTTTCACAGCCACTACCAGATGCAATTGAGATAAACTAAACTAGATAAAGATGCTGCATCTCTCTCTCTCTCTCTCTCTCTCTCTCTCTCTCTCTCTCTCTCTCTCTCTCTCTCTCTCTCTCTTTCTCATTTATAAATTATTTTATTTTTCCCAGTGCATTCTCTTTTCAGAGATGTTAATGCAAGCTGCACATTTATAGCAAAATAAGTGCAAGATTCACCCCTTCTTAAAAAAAAAAACCCCAACAATCTGGAAACAAAATATGCATGGCATATGGTGTACGTACTGTTACTTCAACTATCCTTTTTTGCAACTTTATCACAAAATCAGTTTTCTGTGTCAAAAGAAAAAGGGCCGTTGGGACGCTCGGACATTTCTGTGTTGGTTTTAGCAAGAATTGGACTGTTAAACTGAGCACCAACCCAGTCTCCATTTTGTAAAGTATTTTGTTTTATATATATATATATGACAGACACAAGCATATTATATTACTATTCTATTCTGCTATGATATATATTTTGTAGGAAGGTATTGTTACCTCACAGTTATGCTGAAAAGAGTGGAAGGGAGGGGAAGGGCCTCTTCTGTTGTATTATGCAGATTGCCAGATCAATCCAAAGACTTTCTCTTTATAAAACTGGAGGTTCTTTTTTTTTTTTTGTCTTGAGGTAGAGAGGGAGGGCCAAACTGCCTAAGTTTTGAAGTTCCGGTTCTGAACGTGGTGGGATTTTTTTTTTTCTGAAATTTCAACCACTTTCCTTTCCTTAAAAAAAAGCTATCAATCTTTTTTATGTGTCTTAACTAATTTCAAGGGCAAACAAAGTAGGATTGAAACGAATGGCTACCGATTGGGACTACTACTTCTTCTGTTACCAAATTACAGGAGATCAGACACGTGACCCATGCTAAAGACTGAATCCTTTCAGCTTTGGGTTACAACAGGGTTTCCCCAACCCCGGCCACTTTAAGACGTGTGGACTTCAACTCCCAGAATTCCCCAGCCAGCAGCAGCTGGGGAATTCTGGGAGTTGAAGTCCACACGCCTTAAAAGTGGCCAAGGTTGGGAAACCATGGGTTATAGTCTACAGTTTGAAGCTGTATTCCTGTGATGACCAAAGGGTGTCTGCAGGATATGGTCCAAAAAGTCAACATGGTGACCCTCAACGGTGCAATCAAAACTGCGTTTAAAAAGTGGCCAGGCTTTTTGATTATATCATGTTAACTACCATATTGACTTTTTTTTTTTTAACCACACTTGCCGATACCAATGTGAGTTAAGTGAAAAACAGTCAAAATATTTGATCTATAGGAAGCAGCTGGCAATATTATCTTGACTAATTGTATATATGAAAGTTCTATCTCTGCACATATTAACAAAGCTTTTGTTTTATATAATAGACTTGGGGCATATGTACTGTAGTAAGATCCTCATTGTCATAGCTTTGCTCAAATGACGTTTACATCAAGGATACTCTGTAGAATACAGAAAACAAAGCAAAACTGAAAACGCACAAGCACTGTGTGAACACTGTAAAAGTTCTGATGGAGAGGGGTACTGTGTTTCTTTTTCTTTCTTTTTTTTAAAAAAAAAAACCTAAGAAGCAAATACAAAAAAAAACAAAAAACAAAATCAAGCTGAAAAGAAATGTGCCATGTACTATGATATTTGAATAAAAGTTTTACTTCCTCCGTTGAGTTGGGCTTGGGTGATTTTCTTCAATGTTTTTTTTAAAAGGTCTATTTATTTAGCTGACTTTATCCTTGGCAGATTATACGCTCACACTTAGATTGTTTAGAGCCGTGGTGGTGCAGTGGTTAGAATACAGTAGTGCAGGCTAATTCTGCCTACAGTCTGGAGTTCAATCCTGGCTGGCTCAAGGTTGACTCAACCTTCCATCCTTCTCAGGATGGTAAAATGAGGACCCAGATTTTGGGGGGCAATATGCTGACTCTGTAAAACTGTGTAGAGAGGGCTGTAAAGCACTGTGAAGTGGTATATAACTCTAAGTGCTATTGCTAGTGTATTTGTAATACAAAAGGCTTTTGGCCCAATCCCCATTTTCTCAAATTTCCCTTTAATGCTCAGACATCTCTTCATGACTGTGAGAGTGCAAGTTATTTTATCCCCATTCTACATATTAAAAATTGAGACTGAAAAAGAGACTTGCTCAAACCCAGGACAGGAACCTATACAGGTTAACCAGCTCCTCCTGTTCTAATTCTGATCACCAATATCTGGCGGAAGACCCTTTCCAATAAGCCTCTTCGGTCCACTCCTTAGGTATGAAACTTGTCAGAGTAGTTACCAAGAACCAGATCATTAGAACCTGAGAGTTCATTGTGGGAGAACCTAAGCCACCGCTAATAATTATAGTTAAAGGTAAAAGTTGTTAAAGGAAAAAATAAAAATAAAAAACAATTCTGTTGAGCATAACCTCCCAATCTTTCGGATTACAGCTTCAGTAATATCCATCCTTCAGTCATTCCAGCTCGATGATGTAGAGTCTGAAATGAGATATTTGGAGGGCAGCAGAGTGGGAAAGTGCAGAAATTATAGCAGAGCCTCATGGGGATTTCTAAAGATAACAATATGTTCAGCTGTGTCTGTTATCCCAAAATAATATTGGGACAATCTAGCATTTTATTTTCTTCCTCATTATGTTGCTGTCCATGTGGTATTCAATCTGGTTTACTTAAAGTTCCACTTTCTGGAGGCTACATCCAGTTTTCCACATGTGGTTATTAGGCTAGCATAATGTCATTCCAAACATTATTTTAAAAAATCCAAGTATAGGTAGTCCTCGACTTATAATAGTTCATTTAGTGACTGTTCAAAGTCACCACAGCACTTATGACTGTTTTTCTCACTTACGACCGTTGCAGTGTCCCCATGGCCATGCGATCAAAATTAAAACATTGAGCATCTGACTCATATTTATGACAGTTGCAGTGTCCCGGGGTCATGTTATCACCTTTTGCGACCTTCTGACAAGCCAAGTCAATGGGGGAGGCAGGTTCACTTAACAGCCATGTTACTATTTTAACAATTGTGTGATTTACAACTGTGGCAAGAATGGTTGTAAAATGGGGCAAAATTCATTTAACAAATGTCTCACTTAGCAATAGAAATTTTGGTCGTAAGTCGAGGACTACCTGTACCTGGAAAATTCTGAAGACCTAGGAAAAAGGAGGCTGTTTTTTGAAAGAATGTATCTGAAAACTTTACACCTGGGCCAGGGGTAGGCAACCTCGGCTCTTTTATGACTCATGGACTTCAACTCCCAGAATTCCTGAGTCAGCATAGCTCAGCATAGCTGACTCAGGAATTCTGGGAGTTGAAGTCCATGAGTCATAAAAAAGCCGAGGTTGCTTACCCCTGGCCTAGGGGAAAGAGTGTTAAGTGAAATATCTTCTCTGACAGGGAGCCAGTACACAGTGGTCTCTTTTTAAACCTGAGGCAATTGAGAAGAAAACAAAACTCATTTCCTCCTCCCCTTTAATTCTCTTGCCATTGACTTTTTTTTTTGGGGGGGGGGAGGCAAAGAATTAAAATTCCCAAAGGTTAAGTAAAAGTAAACTTTCTTTCCTCTTAGGTCTGATCTAACTGATATCTAATCAAGAAACATCTCTCCTCTGGATGTCCTGCCTTTAAGGGGCCTGATCAGTGAAGGCTCCACCCTAACCCACCCTTGTCCCCTCTCCATTAATATGGACTATACGTGTTTGCCACATACTGCTCTACAAACAGCCTCTCTATTTTTCCATTACAGCCCGGATGTTGAAGTGGCCAGGTTTTGAGATGTATCCCTGACTGTGTGTATACAGTAGTTGTAAGTTTACCATCTTTTTTTTTTCCCCACGGGCCCACTGCTCTCCCTCTGCCCCACACTTTACTCCTAAGAATGCTCTGGACTGACTTCTTAAGTGCTGTTGCGTATGGAACCACAGGTGGAGATGGAGGGCATAGAAAACCGGTTGCAGTTCCTCCGCTGAAGGGTTCCATTCTCTGCAGATAACTGGTCAGTTCAGAGCACGGCTCAATTTGCTTGCAGCACCTCCGGTATTGGAATTTCATCACCTTTCTCTGGCTAATGGAAGTGGTTCCTTTTGCTCCTCCGATCTTGGGAGTAAATCTCGCGGCTTCCCTTTATGCAATCAACACTTATATCCACCAATCTTAAACTCCTCTTTTCCTTGGTTCTTCTTCTTTTTTTTCTCCAACCTTTTCTTTTTGGTACATTTGAATTTTCACTGAGCTTCTAAATCTGGGCACTGGGGTTTCTGGCTTCCAGCGAGCGTCTTGAAGGTTTTGCACAATTACTGTAATATTGTTGGCAAATACACCGGGCTTGGGTCATTGGCTCTCCTTTCCCTTCTGAGTGGTTTTGTTTGACTTCATGTCTTTTATGCCAGGACTTTGTCCCTAGGACAATTCAGCTACAGTTACAGGTGTCTGATTGTGAGAAAAGAGACCTTGTACCTGCAGACTGCCCATTGCCACCTTTGTCAGGGATGGGAATGTAAACTTTGAATGATCAAATGGCTTTTGTGTATGTGTGTGCCCACATAAAAGCTCCCATTGTATGTGAGGGGATGCTGGAGAGTGCCAACAAGGTAATGAGCCAATTTTTCTTCTGAACTATTTATGTTTTCAGTCATTTTATTTTATTTATTTTTTGCCTCATTATTCTTAGGAATAATGAGATAGTGCACCTATGGCATGGATGCTAAAGGCAGCACTCAGAGCCCTCTCTGTGGGCACGCGCGCCGTCGCCCCAATCCTAGGCCTTCAGCTGGGTTTTATAAAACCTTTTCGCTTTAGGCCTCCGCCGCCGTGTGCAAAAAAAAAAAAGGTTCAATCAATCAGTCAATTTCAACTTCTCACAGGAAAAAAAAAAGATCTTGCAAAGTTAAAATTGATTGATTGAACTTTTTAGTCTCACCCAGTCTGCTGTTACCACCGCAGCCACGCCCAGCCAATGGGCCACCCCCACCCGGCACCCGACGATGCATAAGTGGATTTTGGGTTGCAGTTTGGGCACTCGGTCTCTAAAAGGTTCGCCATCACTGAGATAGTGTGTATATGTATATTGCCCTGCATCCCTCTACAATTTTAGCCTTGCATGGAAGTCACATTGGCAAACAGCTACTTTTATACAATCCTAGGACAAATGGAAGGAAACACAGGTTAGGACTAAAGGGTTATGGGAATAAAATAGATAATGTCTCTCTCCCCCTATCTTGGCTTCCATCTCTGCTCAGCAGCGATACACTTTTAAAAAAGAATCTGTCAAGTTCTCACATTTCCCCTCCCTTCCCATTTGCTATTACAAAAATAGTTAACTATTCCTTGGTGAGTCACAGCGTGAACCATTTTGAATACTTTCTCTCTCTCTCTCTGCTCCCTTTCAGTTTCAAGAATCTATTTTAGCATCCCTGGTGGGGAGAAGGGGTCACCTTAAGCTCCTGCGATAATTAAGTAGGAAATATTAGTTCCCTGTGCTTTAAAAATAGAATAATTAATTTTGCTGCTGTCAACTGAGCAGCCCTTTTTAAAAGAGCCGCCCTGGTTGCAAATGGTTGCTTGCCTCCAAGAGAGAAACGATGCTTTACTTCAGGGGTTCTCAACCTTGGCAACTTTAAGACTTGTGGATTTCAACTCCCAGAATTCCTCAGCCAGCTTTGAAGTCCACAAGTCTTAAAGTTGCCAAGGTTGAGAACCCCTGCTCTACTTCATGTCTGCACAGCAAGCCCAACGTCTCTTTCTCTCTCACCGAAGGGATGTTGGGCTATTGCTTCTGCAGATCCCCTGGGAAGACCCTTATCTTTTTATTGGCAATAATACGTAAGAAATTAACAATATCTTCTTCTGGGATTTTTTTTTTAAAACTTGCCAGTATACAATGGGGTATTCTGGTGGTCACTTATCCAAGTATTAACTTGGGTTGATGAGATTTAGCTTCTTTGGAGACCAGCCAAGGCTGAGTAACTGCAGCCACCTGAATTGGGACGACATGCAATAAGTTAGGTATACAGCCTGAAATGTTTGTGGATCCCTCCAGTTTACAGCACACATCAATTTATCAGCCATGGCCTCTTTAAAAGAAGGCATGTGAATAATGCTTTTGCACATACCCCACATGCTATTTGTTAACATTTTGTAGTTAATATTTAGCTATTGCATTGGTGTGCAGAAACATTACATTGCAAAACAACCCGGGGATAGTTATTGTGGGATTAGCAAGCACTCTCAAACTCACACTTTCTTCTGCTACAAACATAAGAGGAAACACTTTCTCTGGGAAAGAAGCTCTAGAAACCAGGAACTGAGTAACTGACAACACTTTCTTTTGTCAGTTTCTGGTTTCTAGAGCTTTTTTCCCACAGGTACTTGATTCTGTAGAATGAAAACACTTGCTTGAAAATGCTGTCCAATTTTGTGCAAAAAAAATACCATTTTGGTCAGATAAATACCTTGAACTGAATGTAATTCAAACTCAGATTTTAATACAGTATTATAAAACCTTGCTTCAGGGAATGTCTGAACATAGTTGTTTTATTAATAAAAGATTACTGATCTGGGCAGGATTGATGTTCTTCTATGACCATTGTTTAATCAATTGGTTTATACCCAACGTTGTTGTTTTTTATGAGCATCTGGAGGAAGAAGGAAAAGTGATACCACCTGTCTTGGGATGTCCTGAGGCAAACTCCATCTCTTTGGTACTTGCATTGCAGAAGCTGACAAGATGTGATTAGCATTTTGGCATCATGGTGGCTAGCCAGATGCTAAAATGGACCCTCTGCTTTTCATTCTAGCAAATAGTCAGGGCAGCTAACAAGAATGTTAAAAATCAAACTGTAAGGACCCACTTCAGCTAACCACCCAAGAAAGCAGGACTCTTGAAATGGGCATTGTCTCCAAAGGAACTTTTATTAAGGGTTAATGACAGTAGGGAAGTCAAGGCGAGATCTGGGGAAAATTCTGCTTAAACCAGGCACATCAAACTATGTGTCATGCCGAAACCACGCCCACCCCATTGCTGGCAATGGGGGGAAAGTCCCAATACATCACACGACGTCATGTGACGTCGCAAGTTTGACATGCCTGGCTTAAACGGTATAGTTAAACTAGCCATCTTCCTCCTCCCACCAAAGTCATAGTGTCCATTTGAAATCCAGCCAATTCACAAGTGGCAACGATGTGCGAGTAACTGGCACAGTTGGCGGGCATTTCAAGGTCTGCTCCAGTTTCGTTTCTCCATAGTTGTCTCCCTCATAAGGGAGACACAGTCTTTTCTCAAGTGGATAGAGGCAGGAGAGGAAAAGCAGAAAGCAAAAGTTATCCCAAGCAAAAGCAAACTCCGCCCCCTCTCCCAGCAGAATGGCAGGCCCCAAACAAGAGTACATGCGCAGGGAAAGCAATAAGGATTTGGCGACCTGACACAAACATAACCAATTTCAAACATATATTAACATAATATAAACCCATATTCAGATTGATGCTAAATTCAATTAACAATCAAAAATCCGATGAAAGAAATGTCTTTTCTAGGTTTTCTAAACCCAGAGGTAATGTGGGAGAAATGCAGCTCCCAATGAAGCATATTCTATAACCTGGGAGCAACAGAGCACGAGTTCAGAAAAATGGGCCTCTAACAGCAGCCAAACCTGGAATTGAATCCCTGCTTCTTTTTTGGCCGCAGGCTCCATTTTCCTTCACTGAGATGAACTTTTATGGGATATAAGCTGGGTTGTTTTTTCTTTTTACATTATCTTTCCACCAGCTAAGAACTGCAGGAAACACAGCAGTTAATGGATATGGGGATGTCGCAGGAATGAGTGGGGAGGAGGTTGTGTCTTCCATCTTGTGTAGAGTTGGGTTTTGTTTTTGTTTTTAATAATAATAGTGTGTAAGCTCAGTAGATTTAAGGGGAAAAAAATTCCCTTTGGTTTCCTACTCAAACCCGGTGGGAAAGTCAGTCGGTCTTATTTGCCAATGTGGTTTTATGAATGGCAGAGCCACAGGAAAGAGTCTTGAGAACCTGCACATGGGTTACAGAATACCCAGCCCTGCTTTAGATAAAACAGTGCTAAGCAGACTGCTGAGTGTTTCCACTGTATCGCCATCTTAGACACACACTAGAGGGCAGTGAAGAAGACTACAGTCTTTCGTAAATAAAGTGCGTCCTTACACTCTTGCACTTGGATTTTTTTAAGGATATCATGCGTTTCTTTGAATAGCTTCATTTTCTTTTTCTTTTTTTAGAATCTCTGCTGATAAAGAGTTGAACCATGAAGCATGCACTATCCAATTTCTCCTGTAATTTAGCTTAGACCTGAACATTTCTCCATCCCACCCACCCTTTTCCCTCATCATGGAGCGTTTACTATTTAGACAGCACTGGTAGGTAGACACAGTTGAGTCTGAAATTGGAGATCTGTGGACGAGATTGCTCATTTTTAAGTTCCCTTGTAGCGCCTGATAATGATCCAGTTCTTGTGAGAATTCGATGCTAAATCTCTGTACATCAAATAAATCTAGGAGAAAGCCAGGTCGTTTACGGTTTTCTATTTCTCTGTGGATGTTTTAGAACAAACAGTCCCAGACTTGGATCATCTACCGGGTGACTTTCTGAACTCAGGAAAGAGCATATATGTGGGCTGTATTTTCTCTTTATCGCATGGAATCATGCTTTATGAAACTTACAAAACTGTAGGCTGCTTGGCAAAAGGAGGATGTCATCAGCAGGCTTGCGTTAAGAAGAAATGTATGAAATGTTTAGATCAGAAATAGATGTTTTTTTCCTTTAGCAAATAGTACGTTGAAATTCAAGGGCACCCTTAAAGGACTACCATTAGGGGAATGGTCTGTTGTGGTGGCTGTGACAAACTGGGAAATTTCTTGTTTATTTTTTTTTTTTTTTTGCCATCTTCCTATTTAATTTTTAAAATTAAAGATAAGCCTCGGAGTATGGCAGGTACCTAGGCAGGCGGCCTGGGCATATTAGTGCCTACCATTGGTTTAAAGAGAGATAATGCACTTCTAGTTTTAAAATCCCTGACAGCATTAGACAAAGCAATACCCCCTGGTCTTCCATTTGCCCATTTCACACACCAAGCATCAGTTGCCAGGAATAAGGAAACTAGAGTCTCCCGATGTTTCTGAACTATATCTCCCAGCCAGGATCCCAATTTATTGGCCATGTGGGCAGGATCTGCTAGGAATTGTAATCCAGCTCCTCACCCAGACTATATAACTGCTACACTGAGGATCCATTTGTATTCTACATTATGAATCCCATGAGCTTCTCTTTCCTCCGCAAATAATTGTGGGCCACCTGTTTTCTTTGAACACACCAGCTTCTTTCTGGTGGCTTCAGGTTGATCTTGCTCCATGGAAAGTGCCTTTTGCCTGGCAAACATCCGTCCTGCATTTACACGGGATTGAGCCTAATTCAACAGAACCTTTTCTAAGTGGACACATACAGGATTGCACAGACATTCAGGCCAACTGCTTTCTTGTCATGAAAATATAGGACCAAAAAAACCCTGACATTCTGTAGACTCCCCAAAACAGAGGAAAAAATAAAATCAAATGAAATGATGCCAGCACCAAAATAAAATAATGTGATTGTTCTAGGAACATTCTATTCTGCTGTCCATGTAGCTTTCACAAATAGGGGTACAGTATAAATTTTGCCTTGGTGAATGATTCTGAAGAGGGTCCATCTAAGGACCCCAAAAACAGTCTTCAAATCCCTATCAGTGAGCTGGCAAATATGGACTATTCTCCCCCCCCTCCTTTTTTATTTTTAGGTGCTTTATGCAGTATTCCCTCTGCTAGTGTCTTTAGCGAAGAAAATCTGTGTGGCCCAAAAGAGCAGAAATTACGAAGAGGCAAATTGCTTGTGTGGATAGCATTGACTATCCTTCAGATAAGCTGTGTCTCTTAAAGAGAAAGTAAGCTGCTTGTTATTTTAAGAGAGAAGACTGTAGGATCTGAAATCTGTTCTCTTTGGCCAAAGGCCAGCCAGTCTGGACAATCTTCAAACACAATTTCTCTGCAGCTGAGCCACACTCTGCAAATGACTGCTTCTTGAGGAACAGCTGATGCAACGCCCCCTCCAGTCTCCCTGAGCCAGGAAAGATCAGAAATGTAATTTGTAATTGGCTGGAAGCGCCTCCCCCACATCACTCTGTAATCTCAGCCTGGATCTAGATTCCTCCATGGTGGAACAGCCTGCCTGCCCTGAGAGTAAGGTAGACCCACAATAGTTACTTGTGAACAAAGATTGGGAGAGCAGCAGCTTGTCCTGAATAGATGCCAGATGTTCTGGAGGAAGCAATGCTTTGTATGTGGGTGCAATAAATATATCAATAACAGGTGACGTTTTGCTGGGGGTGGGAGGGGGAGAATAATCTGGTAATAGTTTGAGGAGACCTGGAAATAAATTACAGGTTCCTCCTCCTCCTTACATGAGGTAGAAGAGCTAGAACTGGTAGAAGAGCTAGAATTCTAACTGGGAGGTGGAACTCTACTTTCATATGGCTTGAATTTATGGAAGAACAAGCTGGAGCTGCAACAGAATGTGGCTTTCTAGAATAATTTTATGACTGTTGCCCCCCCCCCAAGAGTCATTGGCTTGAGATGGGCGGCTATGCTTATTGACAGATTGAGCAAATAATAAGTATATAAATTCCTGACTGCGGTCAACCTGCTTAGTCTTCTTTCAAGATGAGCCATCCCATTCCTCCTTTCTTCTGCCAGTCAGCCATTATTCCTATCCACTGAATGTATTCAGTCCTCATGAAGATATGTGGGAATGGAGTTCCAGGATTTTTCTATTGCTATTGGACATGGAGTGCTTCCACAAATGTCAGAATCCTCTCCAGCCTTCTGAAATGTTTTTTCTGGTCACGGGTGATGCTACTTTGGCGCATATGTATCCACGCTCCTCAGTATTTATCAGAAGTACTGTGGATGAATTTTTGTACATTGCCTGTCTTAAAATAGAAGAGTATTATTATTATTATTACACTATTATTATTATTAAGGAATCCATAAAAATAAGATTGACACGAACATGTATATTTTGATCAGAAGAATCTTTAGTACCAGCTTATGTCTTGAAGGTACGCACTCTACATTCTTTAGCTGTTTTTGTATTTTTGTTCCAAACTTCATGGGCTGTTAAACTGTGTTTCCTGCATCTAAACTTGGATCTGGGGCATGCTGCCACTGCCATAAAAATTTCTTCCAAGAGTCCCAATAGTGGATCTTAACTAGTTATAATCTACAGGCGAGCAGATTTTTATGGTCCAGAGCTGGTATAAGTACCCTGTAACTCTCCTACATTCCAAGAATGTGAAGCATGACAAGGTGATACCCAAATTCTCAAAGAAGAGATTCATACTGATAACTGTCACAGTGGAGAGTTATATTGTTTTCCTGCCAAGATAACTTTTCTGAGAAAGCAGCTTACCTTCGTTTCAATAAGAGGAGGGAATATTCTCGGGACATGCCCATGGCAACTGTGACCTGCATTCCAATCCCACCACTTGACCTAAGGCCAAAGTCTCCCAGCGTGTTTGGCTACACTCTAACTTGTTTGGAATAATGGTGGCTGTAGTCCAATAGATTTGTGGGTGAGTGATCAAGGAAGAGTGAGGTGGACAGCAGCTATTTACAGCTGTGTGTGTGTGTGTGTGTGTGTGTGTGTGTGTGTGTGTGTGTTGCTTTCTGCATGACACAAAGCAGTTTTATTCATCAGTCCATGTCCTGGATACTCTTCCATGCATTTAAGCTCAGCTGGAGAAAGGAAACATTGAGATAGTTTGTCACTGAAATTTGGCAATTAGGCCAAAGGCATTTTCCAGGCAAAGTCATTGTTTAAAGATTCATAGTGTTGCTTGTTTTGTGGAGATATGATGTTTCTTTGGCTGTGGTGGGAACTATGTAGTGATCTTTGTTCTGTTTGTGTCATCCCTGCATTCCACTTTGTTTTGTTGTCCTTGTCAATACAGATCACTTGTGTCCTGAAACAGTTCGGTCTAAAACTATGCCTTGCTTTCTCTCTACAGGAATCCTTTTGCCAACGTCCAGCTCAAACCAACCGTGACAAATGATCGCTCAGCTCCTCTCATCAGCTGATCCAGAAATGTTGAGTTACGGCGGGTACCTTGCACCTTTTGATTTCACTTTCACCCGTGTTGTATTTCTGTGAGGTCCTTGTACAGTTTACGTGTCTTTCCCTCCAACTCTGTTTTGATAGTTAAATGGCATTTAAATGGCATGCTGGTGTGCTTTTCCTTTTGCTTATTAGAAATAGAAGAGAAGCTTGACCCTTGGAAAGCGATGAGTTTTGAAAGGGATGCTACACTGCTATATTGACTGGAGACCTAGATAGATCAGAAAGCAGCCCCTGCCTTCTTTGCCTTTGCAGCTATACGCAAAATGAGCCTTGCAGTCTTGCAGTGTCTTATGTTTGCCCGTTAAAATTTCTCCTGGAAGTCCTTTTTCATCTTCTGTCAAAACGTATGGAATTGAACAGGACTTCAAGCTGTCAAGAGAAGCTTTGGGGCTGCCTAAGGCCGTCAGATAAAATGCATGATCCGGGTCCTGCTCACTCAACACCTGGAACTGACACGGACTTGAATCTTTGAAGCGCTTCCTGGTAGCTCCCTCCTTACCTTGTGTTGGACTTTTGCTGGATAAAAGTAAAGTAAAAGTTTTACTGAATCAATGTTTAGAAGAGCTGGGCTCCTCAAAGCAATTGTCTCAATTTGACACTTTAATTTTTATTAACGGTCTTTCTCTCCTAATGGTCCATCTCTCCTACAGCTATCCCGTTTGCCTGTGATGATCCTTAAGCGGCAAGGCCCACTGATGGCCAAGTTATTGTGCATACCCTTTCCAGCATATTAAGATGGTTGGGGAATGTTATGCAGGAAAGGAATATTTTCTGTGTGCAACTAGCACCATCTGTTGCTTGAGCATTTGTTTAATTTCTCTGTTGCTTTAAATAGACCAAGGAGGGACTTTTCCGTCCAGCCCTTATTAAAAAGCTAGTTTAGTCCTACCATGCCCAAACTCCCCTTGTTGTGCCTTCTTATTGACACACCTTGACTGGTGCAAGTGTGTCTTCTGCTGCCAAAACAAGTTAGTTTAGACAGCTTGACCTCCGTCTTGGTATTGGGTCCATGCTGTTTGAAAGATCCTTGTTCTATGACTAAGCCAATACTGTATTCCTATTTTTTAACTTTTCTTTTTAAGGTGCACTTGCCTTCTAAAGTAGATGTTAATTCAGTCGTGAATATGCTTTTTTGTTATGTTCTGTTCTACTGGCTTTCAAAGTCTGGTAAGATGCAACATAGACCATTCAGCTCGCTACGTGTATTTATGTAACCCAAGAATAATGAGTAGTTCCAGGAAACGGTAGTTATCAAAATGGAACTGGACTTACCCACAATTTGGAGTGCTCTTACTGTTTGAATTCCAGTTGTAGCACCAGAGTCTGGTAATAATGAAGAATGCAAACCCAATTCCTAAAATACATTTGACTTCAAATATGGAGTGATCGAGGCAAATTAGTAGTCAATTTTTAAGAGCTGTTTCTATGCCATTTACCCATTAAATTCTCATTGAACAAACCCTCGTGAATTATGCTGGATGCAAACTTCTCCTTATTCTACTTAATAGTAGCTCCCAGCTGACTGTACAAAATCTATATTGAGCTATATTTATAATCTATATTTTCCTCCCAAAGAGAAATGATGATAATAATGGTATTTTTTTTCCTCTAAAAATGGTGTGAACTTTGGCTAAATATTAAACAGCCCCTCTCATCTGATCCTTTGCATAATCTGAATTTATTTGCAGCTGCTTTGCTTTTTCCAGTGACTTTTAAAAAGCAGTCACAGCTGGCTCAAATATAATTTTACCAATCTTACCATTAAAATCATTCAAGTTCAAATTTGATCATAGTTAGCTTCTGTGCTCTCTGTTCTCAATTTCTGAAAAACATTAAGACTGGTTTCTATGATACACTTAGCCCAGAATTGTATTGCCTGGCTTAAGGTGTTGATTGAACCTAATCATTGTGGTTTATTCAATAAATCAAAGTTAAACTGTGGCTTAGCATGCTGTGTAGATCCTGTTTAAGTTTCCATGCAAGCTTGGAGACTTCTGTATTTTTCTATTAGTGAGCATTTCTATCACAACTTGTACATTTCCCTGTGGCTTATGATGCACACATATAAATATCTCAAAATCTATATTTTTATATAAAGAAATTTAGCTAAAAACCAGTTATAGAAAATCTGACAATTCAGACAGTTTAGATAAGGTTGCAGTCCTAAGGAAAATTGTGTAACAGGTGAAGCTCATTGGCCTTATTTTTGATCACATGTGCTACAACTGCTTTTTTTATTATGTCTTTCTTCTATTACAATCCTTTCTTGAAAATCATTTTTCCAGTTGTTGAATAATTTACTTTATGGTCTTTGTTCATATAAATATAATGAACATTCTCAGCCACACTGTACTGTTTTGAAAAATGGTTTTGTGTGTGTGTGTGTGTGTGTGTGTGTGTTGTATATACATTTTTAAAAAGTTAAACTTTGCCAAATTTTTGTCTTTAAGGAGGTTGATTTTTTTGTACCTTGCTTTGCTCCTGTCTTACACCAGTTCCTTTCTTATGTAATATTTTCAGCAATGCAGCCTTGCTGTGGAATTATTTAGATCTGTGTTTCTCAAGCTTGGCAAGTTGAAGTCCACACGTTTTAAAGTGGCTAAGGCTGAGAAACTTTGATTTAGATCAGGGGTCTTCAAACTTGGCCCTTTTATGACTGTGGACTTCAACTTCCAGAATTCTGGGAGGTGAAGTCCACAAGTCATAAAAGGGCCAAGTTTGTAGACCCCTGGTTTAGATAGTGTTACTTGATCTGCTTATGCTCTTCAAGAGTCTTTTTTGTTAGAGCTTGAAGATTAAAAGAGGTTTCTCCTGGGCAGTGGTGGTCTTATGGTGTTTTTGTGCTGCCTATACTTCGTTTCTTGGTTAACTAACCTTCCCAGAGGAATCATATTACAAGACTCTCTTGCCTTCATATCGATAGTGTGAAATTAAGGTTTGAAACCATCCATGCCTAACTCTTAATGATAAGGGTATGGTGTACACCTTCCAGTTAAAATTGGAATTGGAGTTGGGTGGGTTATCAATTCAAATAAATAAATAAAAATAAGCGGGGCAAGTTGGTATATGTGGTGGATCGTGGGAATAAGCAGACATAATTATAGTCACAGCCACAACCTATTTCATGGTATGGGAATGTATCCTGTGACTTTACTTGTGCTTCAAGAAAAGCAGCAGTTGACTAGTGAAGGTCTTATAGAGTACCTAGTTTGGACCCAATTGGAAACCATCATGACTAGCATTGGGAGGCTGGCTCTTAATAACAATGAAAGAATGGGCCAGTGGCCAGTGAAATACACACAACTAGGAATATTACCTTCTGAATGTTACCTTCTTCCCTCATTGCCCTGCTAAATGCTTAGCATGCATGCTAATGATAACCACAACAGTGAAGAGCATTCTAAGAACTGATGCTGTGGACCCTGCTATTAAAAGAAAGTATAGTGCAAGAGCTGTTTTATACTTAAAATGGTTTGGCGTCCTGCAGGGAAATTTGCCTTTAAAAATGCTACAGCAGTGTCTTTGAGAAGGGTTGCATTTTTAATCTTAACTCCCAAATGTGAAATAATGGACATCTTTCAATGCCTGATCAGTTAGCTATACGCTGGCATTACATTCATTTTAACAAGAGTTGACTCTTGGCATCAAAAGAAATTGTGGTAAGAAACTAGATAATCAAAGGGAGTGCTAAAAGAGCCTCCACACCAAACCCCAAATAGTAGATCCCAAGTGTCAGTGCCTAATTTACATAGCTGTAGGAAAGAATAGTAATTTCTTAGTTGCTGTCCCCATCTCCAAAAGTCCCCATGTAACTCCCATCCACTAGCTGTAATCCATGTTTTATTCCTACCCATTTGAGAAGTAGAGCTAGCCTTGGATGACCAAGTTCAATCAACCTAGTTTTGGTTTTAGTTTTTAAGCCTACTAAATATTTCTGAGAACATGCCTCCTTGAATTCTTGAAAAAAGCTAGCTTTTTCCCCACTGAACATTCTCACCTCTTGCGACATTGGCATCAACTGGAGAAAGAAAATAATTTATTTCTAATTCCGTCACCCCCATCCACAGAAGGAATACACTATTCGAGCTATGTGGCGATTTGGCTTTGAAAAAGTGATCACAGCTATTCCTGGGCCAAGTGTGTTGCCCCTCTTGGCAGCTGTTCCAAGATGTTTTCACAGCAGTAAACTGATCCCTGTTTTGCAGCACAAGTATAATAATGCAGGTACCAATATTCCTGAATCTCTCCAGTTTCTTTCTGTCCGGCAGTTACCTGAGGCATAGGAGCCTTTAAGAAAGGGGTTAGTTATTTTATATCCAAACCATGACTGAACTGTATTCGCTGTCTCTCAAGTTGTCTAGTGAATCAGTATCATCCGTAATTTCATTATTTCCTGCTGTCTTCAAAACACCGACGGAGGACAACAAGCAAAAGTTATGTTATTTTAAAAATGTTTTATTTTTATAGTTACTGGATCAATGGTATTTGACACACATGCTGGGAGCTGTATGGAACTCAGCACTGATAAAAAAATACAGCAATTATGACCCGTATCAATAAAATACACTGTAAATAGCCCACCCCTCTCTATTTCTCTCTGTTTCAAAGAAAATCATTAACCCAAAACATAGTTCTAGTCCTGACCTCATGCAGTCTCTCGGGTTGACAGCTGTCTGTTACTATAGACCATATACCTATAGGGGCAGCCTTTTCAAAGGTAACTAGATAAGGAAATGAAGGAGAGAACAAGCTGGGCTGTAGCTACTTACCATTTCCTGAACCTGCTCTTTTGTCATACTACTGGTTCTGTCTTTGAAAGTGGAGTATGGCAGTGGCAAGCTAGAAGCACACCGTGTAGCTGACAGATTTACATTTCATCTAATGTGGAGGAATGAGAACACACACAAAACACCAGCATTCAACTACCCAAAGCCAGCATCATCATTCTTGTATGTACCAATGTGGACCAATGCCATCTAATAGTTGCTGAAAATCCAGTCCAGTGCATGATATCTACACAGAATATTTTGGGAGGATGTGAGAACCAGTGAGATTGAGAGGTCCTAAGAATCTGGAAATACTCAACAGTAACCTGAATTTCCTGGGTAAAATTCTCCTTCTGCTTTGTCGACTACAAGGAGGAGCTGCTATTCTTTTCAATTCTCATTCTCCAAATATCACCCCATGGCAAAATAAGGACTAACAGTGCCCTTGCCATTAAATTTGTTATTTCCCCAAGAGGCTTCTCATTCATAAATAAAAGAATCTTGGAGGATAATTTATTTTTTTTCCAATGAATGTTGGATTTGTATTAAACAAGAGGTCAACAATCATATAGCTCTGTAGCTAAAATTACTTGATTTTCAACCACTTTTCCAAACTTTTGCTTCATGGTTAATAATGCAATAACGGACAGCATCCTTCAATTTAAAGAGTTTTTTTTAAAGAACTTTGCCTACTTGGTCTCTAGTCACTTGCACACACCTGTTTAGAGTAGTGCTTTGTAGTAAAAGTCTATCTTGTGGCAAGTTAAGATATGTCGCAAAAAGGGATGGAGGACTGTCACTTTGGGTTTTGAGATTTAAGTTCATCTACACTTTCCCATTTTTTCTTTTTTCTTTTTGGTCAAGTTTTTGATACCCCCCGGCCAGCTGGATGGGGAGTTGGGGGTCACCACAACATGAGGAACTGTATTAAAGGGTCGCGGCATTAGGAAGGTTGAGAACCACTGATCTACACCCAATGTACTTATTACTACCTTTCCCTAAAGCCATCTTGTACTCTAGTTTCTTGTACATCACAGTAGCAGAATACAGAATAAGAGTTGGAAGGAACCTTGGAGGTTTTCCAGTCCAACCCGCTGCTCAAAACAGGAGACCCTTTGCCATTCCAGACAAGTGTCTGTCCAGTCTCTTCTTAAAAGCCTTCAACGATGGAGAACCCACAAGTTCTGGAGATAAGCAGTTTCCATTGGTTAGTTGTTCTCAGATCACAGGGTATTTTGTAAACATAGGGTATTAAAGAACAGACCACAGGGTATTTTGCACACTTTGAAACAAATCTAAGTCCTGTACTTGTGTGAATCCTGCAAGTTGCATACCTATACTGTACTTTGCAAAATTCACTTTCATGTATTATAGAAAGTAAGATTGACATGTGGGCATCACATTTTTTTTTCCAGGCTCCACCACACTTGTATGGACCATAGTCTGACTATAGTTTTTTAGTTAAGAGCAATATTGTCCAAATGACAGCCCCCTGCTATACAGTGTGGCATCTCTCCCTCTTGAGTTCAGAAATGGGTGTTATTTAAACTCTAGGTCAGATTTCTCCTCCTGCCTCTCTCAAGTCTTTAGAGCTGGTTTTTTCAGACATTGGAACACTTCAAAAATAGAATCCCAGTCCTCCTTCCTCTCCATTACACTCATGAATTGGAGGTGAGATGTACAGCTTATTTTTTTGGGGGGGGGTGCTCCAGATATTGTGTGGCATATGATGTCAGCAGCAGGCGCACCAGGAGGACAGCAATGGGCCAGAACGGGTGAGTAAGCTGGCAGCAACCAGGGCCTCGCAGGGCACGATAGTGATTGGGATGAGGAACCAAAGGGGGTCCAGGGTTGGGAGGTTGGATCCATTTGCTCTGATGGAGCTTAGAAGGCTCCCAAGCAGGCGATGAGTGGGGTTGTCTGTAGCTTACAGAATGCAACACTTTTTAAATATTTTAAAGCGGGGATGGGGTGTATGGAACCTAGCAAATACTGTAGCATACCAGAGCATTCTGGGTCACTCCAGGAGAGATAATATTAGTCATGAGCATCCTAACCCACTTCCCCCTCCCAAGCTATCTTGGCTGCCTTGTTTGCCATCCACAAATTATTCCAGTTCAGCATTAATTAATGGCACTGCAGAGGGAAAAACCAGAGCTAAGAAATAATAGGCTGAGTATGCCAAAAGGGGAAACAACAACCCTCAGAACTATGAGGATTAGTGACACTTCTGCATTCCTCAGAGTATCAGAGAAGCCTAAGCTATACATGCTCCATAAATGTCTGCTTGATTTGAATATAATACAAACTGATTGTAAAGATGAGTTAATTGGCATGTTCAGAACATGCCCATTATTTCAAGGCAGAAATAGCCACTGGAAATCTTAACAAAGTTGCAACTGCTTTGTCTTCATTTTTATCAGGTATAGTGGAAGTATATTTAGTCTTATCCTTGCACCTACAAGGTAGCTTTTGATGTCCAAATGCAAGGCTAAGTTGGAATGACAGTATCTGTAAAGCCCTAGTATCCCTCACCTCTGGGGACAGAGGCATTTTCACTCGCTACATCCATCCAGATGGATATCAGTTACATTCCCCAAACACAGAATAGAGTTCTGCATTTGGCAATAACATTCTACTGGTTCGCCAGCTTTGTAAGATGAACTGGTGGGAAGTATGCAGAATTATGAGAATGATGTTCCCAAGTGCACAGGGTACACTCAGACTGCAGGGTTCTGGTACTAATCAATTGTTGCTACACACGGAAATATCTCAGGTAAGACCTCTTTTTAGATGCTCAACTCAATGTATGGAAAGCTGCACATTGTAGGCCAGTGTTCCCCAACCTTAGCTACTTTAAAGTGTGTGGACATCAACTCCCTAAAATCCCCAGCCAGCAATATTGGCTGGGGATTTCTGGAAGTTGAAGCCCACAAATCTTAAAGTTGCTAAGATTGGGGAACACTACTATGTAAAAAAAGGGATTTGCCTGTATCACTCATTTTTCTCTGACCACCAACAGCCCGAAGGAAGGAGAGTTTTAGTTGGGCTTGAATTCAGGTAGAGCACTCAACTTGATCCATTCCAAACAGAAGATCAGCTTTTCTTAAAACCAGTTTGAAGTTTCTGATGCATTCAGTAAAATGCCTGAAGGGAGAAAACGTAAACCACCCTTTGACTGGAATCCTACTTGATCAGCCTGGGCACATTCTGCAATATTTCACATCCACAAGGAAGAACATAGACATAAAGCTATATGGATAGGAGAACAAAAATGCAGCCTCCCCCTTTAGTCTTTTTAAAGTTGGGGGTAAAGTGCTTTTTATTTCAAGTTATTGCTAAAATGTTCATTCATTTTCAGGGAAAGTGCATTTTAGTGCAATTTTTCATCTATCCATCTATGAAAGTGAATGGCACGGTGCCCAACAGATTAGTGCAGCAGACAGCACATGTCAATGCCATTAAAAAAGTTGAAATTCACTTACACTTATGATGTTTGTAAAGTTCAAATAGAAATGGAAGAAACAGGAAAAAAGAGCCGGGGTGGGTGGGTTGTGACAGCATCATAGAGATGCTCCGTATAAAATGAGCAAGCAAAGATTCCTCCTATGGGTGGATCCAGCCTTTATTCCCCTGCCTATTAAGTCCCCAACTCTTCTTATTCCAGGCTCTGAAAACAGATCTGAGAATGCAAAGATGGAAGAAATCAATTATAATAAAATCTCCTTTTTTTATTTGTGAGAGCTTGGGAAAGAGACTTCCAATGGGACTAATCCCATTGGAAAATGCAGCTGACTGCATTTTTAACCAATTGAAGTACTATAGAGGGCAATATAAAAGCCGCTCAGTTAAGGATGGGATATCTGCAGTCTTTCAGATGCAGTTTGGGATTTATTACAAGCTCGATATTCCAAAGCACCTGTGGATTTTTCTAAACTAACTGGGGATGGAAAAGGAACTCTGGGTATATTGCAGAAAATCAAGAATTTCAAATTTCAAAATCAAATTCATTGGTTAATTTTTGTCTAGTTAAGAATTTCAGTGGCTACCTTATTTCTGACCATGGTATTTACCCCCACCCCATAAAAGTGGTAGATAGTGAGCTGTATGTTTCAAGAATTACCTTGGGGGTCAAATACATTTTTATTCATTAGTCCAATCCATTACCAAGAGGTCAAGATGCTATCTGTTCCTCATTCAACCTTTCCTAACCAAGCCAGGCTCTAGTCCTTGAATGCTCAAGAGAATTATATACCACCACTTTGGTTTGCAGAAGGATAGAGGTGGATGGGAAATGTAGACCACTACTTTCCATTTCCAGGCAGTGCCAACGTGCTTGGCACCCAACGACGGGAAAAAGTCGAGCTCCACTAAACCTATGTCATGGCATACATCCCAGCTCCCAAATTGGTTTGTGACAGCGAAGCATTTTGAAAGTGCATTCAGCCACAGAGGCCAATAAATAACACCTTCTCTAGAAAACGTCTATAGTTCATACACATTTCTTTCCAAAGCTATTGGACAGAAGGACTTGCTTGGACTGAAATTTTGGAATGCGCACAGTTCAGGTGAGAGAAATAATCCTATCTCTCCTTTGATGTTAGTGGGCAAAATGCAGATAACAAAACACACAGAGGTTCCTTTCAGCTTTCCCTGGCTTCTGGGTTCAGTAGCTGCTGGTGTGGGTTCTGGTGGCTCCAGTGTTGCTTCCTTCTCAAGTTGGCATCAAAAGCCCTTAAACAAAAAGGGAAAAAAAAAACAAGAAGGAACAGGAATGCTGTCTCTAACTCCAGCTCCATATTGAAGCCTGGCACAATATTTGTTTTCTCAAGCACTCTGGTTCAGGAGCTCTCCAAAAAAAAGCGCCCTCAACCCACAAGTAGGCCGTTGTGTTCTGATCACGCTAAGGAAATATATGGTAGTCCAAGGAAGGACAAGTGCTATTCATTTGGATTCACCAACCAGCAGCAGAAGAAATGAGACAATGGCATCTGTGTTGCCCACGGTGGGCTTCAGAAGAAGTGGAGCAAAAGGCCTATAGGTTTCCACCACCCAAGGAGGCTGTGAACAGATCCTGATAACCTTTCACACATCCAATACCACTCTGACCAAAGACAACAAACCTCACAGGAGGATCTTAGCAAAAAATGTCGGACATAGAAAGTATTCTGACTATTGGGGAAGAAAGCATAACTGACTGAAAGCATGCAGCATCTTAAAGATGTCTTGCTCCACTAAGTTTACACTTAGAACTGCACCTTATTAAAACACTTCGCCAGCTGCTTGGAACTGATGTGGGTAGTGGTGGCAGGAGAAAGGAAGCCAAAAAAAATCTGGCTGTCACTATCACCTCCTAGACCAGCGGTTCTCAACCTGTGGGTCGGGACCCCAATTGGGGTCGAACGACCATTTCACGGGGGTCGCCAAACAATGCAGTCTGCCATTTTTTCCCCCTTTTCCTTAGCTGTGCTACTCCCTTTTATTCTATTGGCTTTTGAAAGCCAATAGAATAGACTCTCTTGAATAGAGTCTAATTCTATTGGCTTTCAAAAGCCAATCGGAATTGTCCAGGCTGTCTCTGCCCTGCTGAGCCCGCCAAAAGTCCCATTCTGCAAACGGTGCTGCACCAGTTGAGTAGTCCTCGACTTACGACTGGTTGGGGGGTCGCGGCATTAAAAAGGTTGAGAACCACTGTCCTAGACGCTGCCTAATAGAGGGATGATGAATCATTGCCTCTAGCATTGCTATGGTTACGTATACTATGAAAATGAAAGCTGGGCTCATGAACCAGACTCAGGTATCAGTACCAGTGCCAAGCTTGCCACTTGTAGTCAAAACATACTCCAAACTGGAAGCGCAATGAAGCACAATGCAGGGACATTCTGCAGCTTTGTATTGTCTCTTCCTTCCTGTTTCCTCTGACTCCGTGAGGAAATAGCCCAGTAGCTACCAGTTGCCTTTTGCTCTTCTCTGTTCACCGCCCCCCCCCCATTTCCAAAGCCAGTGACTGGTCTATAGTCCCCCAAAGCCACAACTCCTAAGTGCAACATGCCTCTGACTCATTTCCATTTTACCCCACAGTCTAAATTGCATGATTATCCTAAATCTTGAACCTAATCAAAATCTAACAAACAAAATAATCCCAAAACTATTATTTTCCTCCTCTCCTCCCCCCCCCCCAGCTGTCCCACCACCCTCCCCAAGATGCCTTGATAAAAGTTAAGTCTTTACATCTCTTTGGCAACAATAACTTAAATCTGCCACTCTGTTAGGGCAGGTGGGTAAACTTTGTACAAAAATAGTCTCAGTGGCAGTTTGATCTGCTTTTGCTATGCATCTGCTGGGCGTTTCTTTCTGCAGCTGAAAGGTGACAAAGGAAGTTTGAAAAAAAAAAAAAACCCACCCCTAAGACTTGGCATTCCTCTCAGATTCTCAGCAGGTCACATCATGGCTCCCTAGGAAGCCACCCCCCCCCCCGAATAATGCTGTAGTAGAGAAAGGATGAAGAAGTCAGAAAATGGGAAGATAGCATTGATAGGTCTCAGCACCACAGTCTCTTCCAGCCAACGAAACATTTAAATAAGCTTGTTTTTTATGTCCTATACACCCACCCCACCGCCTGGGATTCAGGCTGCTCTCTCAAGGCTAAATGGGAAGTGCTGAAGGCTATCCAGCCACTACTTCTGGGCTGTTCATGTTGATCCTGCTCATAACAGAAGGCAAGGTCTTCAGTAGAGCTGAGTACCTGGGACAAGACCGTGATTCCCAAAAGGAGGTGTGTGGGGACAATTTTGAGCTCCGCAACCATGATGAAACAGAGCGACCGCAACCCAGAGTCAATGAAAAACATAAGCAAAAAGGGGGAATGGTTGCTGAGACCAGGAGTCTTCCCTGCTCAAAACATTAAATGTGATCTTCACTTTAGCTGGCTCCCTTACCTGTTTCAGGTGTTTGGCCTACACTTGTCTCTAGCTCTTCCACTAATTGTGTCCGCTGGACCATCAACTCCACTTGATATTCAGACACAGCACACTGAAGAAAGGACAAGGAGAGCTTGCCCCCTGTGGCAAGACACAAGTACCAGTGCTTGAGGGCCCCCCTGAAGCATGTCAGAATGGCACAAAGCGCAAGGCTACGTGCTCTCTCAATATCCCCTATGGGGTGTGGAAAGAAGACACGATAAGCTCACAGAACAGGCAGGGAGAGGAGGTCTCAGGGCAGTACCCCAACTGGGGAAGTCAGTGTGGGTCAGAACATCAAGAGGCATGAGCTAGGAGTATTACAATGGCTTATGTGGCAATGTTAGCAAGGTCACAGATCTACCCTTTAAATGCTATAGGTTCTATATGTCTATATATGTCTATTTGTACACAAACACTTTCTTGGGTGTGTGCGCACGCGCAAACACACACTCATGTTTGCACAACCATCGCAAACCACCTCATGGTAGGGTGGCCCCAGCCCAGCAGCAGTCAAAATCTGTCCAATAAAATCGGAATGAGGCCCTGAATGAGTTCTGCTCCAGCCAGCTCCTGGGCCTTATCCGTGCTCATGTCCCCTGGTGCAGTAACTGTGCCATGGGGGCAAAGTAGGTAGGAAGTCCAAAAGGGAGAGATAGCCAAGTTCACTCTCTGTTGCCATTTTCGCTGTTGCCTAGAAAAGGGAAGAAGCTGTTAGAAATTGCAACCACATAACTAGAGGCCTCAGTGGCCTTTTTCCTTGTATTGTTCTTAGCTTTTCCAACACAGCTGGTCTTTTCCAGCTGCCTCAGGATTGAATTCAGTTCATGACATATGGACAGAAGCTTAATAGTGTGTCTGTAAAAGGGACTGACAACGTCCTTCCTAGTCAGATATGTTTTAAGAACTGGGGTAAAGTTTCCCTGTTTCCACAGGCAAGTCAACTACCTTCTGAGGATTTGTGCCAGCCTGGCTTCTATCTGAATAGATTTTTTTAAATTCGATTTTTATCCTGCCTTTATTATTTTACTGGTAACTCAAGGCAGTTAACACACAGTACCAGATACTCTCTCTTCCTCCTTTTCCCCACAACAACCACTCTGTGAGGTGGGTTGAGCTGATAAAGAGGGACTGGTCCAAAGTTACTCAGTTGGCTTTCATGCTTAAAGTGAGACTAGAACTCAAGTTTCCCGATTGCTAAGCCAGCACTTTAATCACACCACCAAAATGGTGGGAAAAGAAGCATTGGAAGTATGGAAGAAGGATCCTAAACCTCCTGCTGTCATATGAATGAATGGCTCTGGATTACAAAAAGGTAGATCTTCATACTCCTGCTAAAAAAAAAATCATAAATCAAGTTCTCTTGTGTCAAGCTTGACTCCTGGTGACTGTTATGGTTATATTTACATTGTTTTCTCAGCAATGCTATGGAAGAGGTTTATCAATGCCATCTTCTACATTGCTGTTCCTTTCCTTTAATCTAATGCCATAAATATTGCGATCAGCTCTTAAATTTTTGGGAAAACTGAAATAATTTCATATTAATGTGGCCTCAGTAAAATAAATCCTCCCACTGAGTTTAAAGTGTGACTCAGCCAAGAATCAGAAGGCCTCTGCTTGGGGCAGGATTCAGTGCAAGGGATAAAAGTAACCCGTTCAGAACAGTTCTTCATGTCCTATCCAGAGTTTCAATCTTATTTTTAATTTCCTGGCTTTAATCATGAGACCTCTACATCAGATCACATGGACTCCACAACGCTTGCCCCAAGAACAGGAAACTTCTGGGTATTTGGGGGCTTACCATTCCTTATTAAGGCCACTCTCTTCTGCAATTTTTGTCATGTCAAAATGGACCTTACCTCCTACCGGCTCGACCTCTGAGTCAGTGACATGTGTGATGGAGAACCGTGATACTGCAGCAGGGGAGACTGTGAAGCGTGAAAACTGGATGGGCAGCACTTGCTTCTGAGCAGATACTAGCGTGGGTGACAGTCTGGAGAGACTGTCCTCAGCTGCTTCTGAAGTCATTGATGGCAGGACAGGTGATTTCACAGGTATGAGGGAAAAGTCATCCTCCCATCCAAAGCCACCAACTGAAATGGAAAGGATAGATATAGGAAAGAGGAGGAGACTGATGTGAAGGCTACTCCCTTCACCCACTCTACACAACGAAGTTTCCCAAAGTCCAACGGGATTTCCTGTATCAGACTTCAGTCTGACACCTTCCAGATATGCTGGATTTTGGCCAGGCTCTCTAGAAGTTTAAGTTTAAGTTAAGTTCGGAGGGCTTGGAAAAAAAATTGCTGTGCAAAATATAGGTAATCCTTCACTTACAATCATTCGTTTAGTGACTGTTTGAAACTACAGCAGCATTGAAAAAAGTGACTTATGACCATTTTTCACACTTAGGACTTTTGCAGCATCCCCGTGGTCATGTATTCAAAATTCAGACGCTTGGCAACTGACATGTATTTATGACGGTTGCAGTGTCCCGGGATCATGTGGGTCACTTTTGTGACCTTCTGACAAGCAAAGTCAATTGGGAAGCCAGATTCACTGAACAACTGTGTTACTAACTTAACAACTCCAGTGATTCACTTAAGAACTGTGGCAAGAAAGATAATAAAATAAGGCAAAACTCACTCAACAACTGTCTTGCTTAGGATTGGAAATTTGGCGCTCAATTGTGGTTGTAACTACATTACTACAACGTCATTCTCTATGATCTTATGATGGCCATCACAAACAGTTAAGCAAGCTGCTTTTAGCAACCAAACGTACAAGCTGGAAATTCCTACTCATAAACTAGTTGTAATAAGAGAAAACTAAAAATGTCTACTTGTTCCCAAGTCAAATATGGAATCTGAAATACGACAGACATTGAAAGAAACCAGGTATATCACTAACCAGCACTATTCTGGCCTGCAAAATTCTATGACTCCAGATTCCTTCTGTTGTTGTTTTGTCCACGACAGATGGAATTTATGAAAATGGGACAAATTATCTGAATCTGCAGGATTCTTCTGAGAAAATACACATATGGAAGAAGCATCAACAGGGCAAACACAGTCCTTGACTTACAACCTTAATGGAGTCTGCCTATCATAATAGTAAGTTGTGATGGTTGCAAAATGGGTCGGCCATGTGACTGGCCCCATTTTATGACTTTTTTTGCAGCACATAAATGGCCTCCATGGTTCTTAAGCAAACACTGCTGTGGTTAAGCAAACCAATGCCTTGCTATGGTACAATTTTGCTCAAAACCAGAAGTGACAAGTTTTGGCAAAATCGTTGTAAAATGCAGTCACATGACTGTGAGTGCTGCAAACGGCCGTAAAATGTGGCCTTGTTGCTAAGCGCCCAAAGTTTAGTCATGTGACTGCAGGGGAATCCATATTGTAAGGTAGGCCCATTATAATTTTGGTTGTAAGTCAAGGACTACCTTTATTCAGTTTTATTTTGAAGCACATCAGTTTAGCCAAAATAGGTACATGCGTTCTGCCAATCCAAATGGGTCAAATTCAGTTCTAATTATAATCATTTATGGAAGATATAGTAATCAATCTTGCTACGAAAAAAAGGCAAAATGAGTGGAGTTCAAGAGACTGTAAAAGTAGTGATGAGGGTGTAATGTGATCTCATAGGCCTCAGTTCGTTTGACCCGTACTTTTATTCTCTTCAGAGGAGCTCCCTTCTGAGCTGCTGTTGGGTGAATGTATCCCATCTGCTAAGCCTGGGGAACCTTTGCTCTCCACCTGCCCAGGTGGCGTTGGCGAAGTTTCTGTTACTCCTGGGAAAGGATGTTCTGCAAGTTCCTTTGTGGGGCTTTCCTGCAGGTAAAACGTGCAATGGATACAATTAGTTCATATCCTGAGGGATGGAAAACTGTACTCTGCTATTATCCAGGACACCCTATGAAAAATCAGAAGTTACTTATTTAGTACCTTCAACATCCAAGAAACTGTAACCGTAACAACCTCCTCCCTCTTTCATGGCTCATTTCTATGTTAATTAAAAATGGGAAGTCTAACTTTAAGGTTTAGTGGGAACATGCAGCTCGTTTTAGTGTTAGTCTGGACTGTGTAAGATCAGACATGTCAAACTTGTGATGTCACATGACATTGCGCAACGTATCGGGACGGTTTTGCCATTGCCGGCAATGGGGTGGGTGTGGCTTCCGGATGACGTGTCCGGCCAGCGGGCCAGCAGCTTGACACCCCTGGTGTAAGACTATTTAATCCAGGTTGCAAAATTCCAGACAGCCAAGTGTTTAGAGTTTTATGTATCTCTACTATATGCTGCTATATATTACTCACATTAACTGGGCTTCATCCGAATACTAGATAGCAGCATATTGTAAAGATACAGAAAACTCTACCACAGTTCAGCTCTGCTAGCCCTATAGTCATGCACTTGCTGCCCTCCCAATCTTTGCTCATCTAGGAAGGTCTTAATCATGTTTGTATGGTGATGAGATTTGTATTCCAATTCATCCGGAGGATGGGAGGTTAGAGGAGACTGGCTGGTATTGTTATGGCTAAGATTACAGAATATTATAATGAGAAGCCAGTAAACAATTGGTTGAAGTATGCAGAATAATCAGATCTGCACTGCAAACTTCCGGTTGACCACAAAGATATGTAGAAAAATCTGGATTTTGCAGTTCAGATGTGCTAGATGCAAAATATAAAGAACCCCATGTCTTCTAGGTGCTTTGGATACCCATCAGTCTCCCCAGCTTTGCAATGGCAAAACAGTGTGATTTAAAACCTCTAGGAGGAATCAGGTTGCATATTTTGGCCTCCTGGTATGAGGATGTTTAGCGCAGGATGCATTCTGTTCCGAGTCCTTTTCTAAGTTACCTTATGTTATCTCTTCAACCCCCTCCCCAACAAGTTACCTGGTCAAAGAGGTAGACAGTAACATCTTCGGTGAAGGAAACAGCTTTCTTCTTGCGCTCAAGGTCATCACAAAAGGTCTCCACCACTAGATTGGGCATCTTAAGCAGGCTGCGCAGGTTACGGGCACTGTGGCTCTCAGCCACCACAATGGGCACAGCAGGTGATTCCTCCTCACTTTCCTCACTCTGGTCCTGAATGTTGTAGCACCGCAGCTCCTCATCAGACTCATCACTGTCCTCAGTATCATCTTCTTCCTCTTCAAGATCAGTGGGTCTACATGAGAGCTGGGATGGTACCCCTGACAGTTCCAGTGATAGCCCAACATTGCTTTGAGATTCCTTAGGATGGCCAATTGCCCGTCTTTCCTCAGGTTGTTCAGTGTTCTTTGTCACATTCTCCTGTCCTGAATCCTTTACCTCATTTCCTTCACCACCTATAGTGGGTTCCTCTGGACTGGTGACCACAAGAGACAAGACGAAAGATCTGGTGGTGGGAGTTGGTGTCTGCGATTGCACGACGATCCCATTATTCTTATCCTGAATGAAGTTTGAATCGAACTCATCAACAGTTGCTTCATTCAACAGTTCCTGTGACAAGTTAATATCTCTGTCTTTCCCCATGCCCTGGTCCTCTGTTCCTGGAGAGATGCAACCCCCACAGTCTTCATGTGGACAAATGGGCTCAAGACCAGCTGGCAGAGGCTCATCTGTCCTGCCAATTTGTTCAGAGTTTTCGTTTAGTTCTTCAGTGTGTGACTGGGAGACCTCCAGTTCATGTTCCTCAGAAGCATCACTGTCCTCTTCCCCATCTTCCCGGGTTCCACCTTCAGTATCATAGTCAGAGAAATAGGCAGAGTCACGGTAAGGATTCTTCTCATTCAAGGCCTGCAGCTCAGCTGTAAAAGAATCAGAAAGACTCTGCTCTTCGACTTGATCATCCTTATCATCTTCAGATGTTCCCAGCTTATCAGATCCTTCAGATTCCCGTGACTCATGAGGTTCCCTGAGGACAAATTCAGGTGACTCATAGTTCTCTGTATCATAGCCACTATCCAGAGCCTTAGGCTGGTTTGAGGATATATAAGCTATGGGGCTGAATGTATCACAGGAGCTGGTGGTAGAGGGGATTTCCAATGAATCTAGTGAATCTGGAGTCCCTACTTGTTTCTGTAAGGTTTTGAAAGTGGGGATTATATCTTGTTGCTCAAGACAGTCAACTGGGAAGTCAATAAAAACACCAGATGTAAGATCAGCTGAGTCCTCATCACTGGCCTCATCCAAGTCAGGGAAACTGGTACTGGAAACAGTCTTGTCTGGAGTTCTATCTTGTTCACTACTGGTGTTCTTGCCACTTTCTATATTGATCTCCTGTGGCAATTTAGGTGAGCATCCAATGGAGGTCTCTTCCATAGGGTCTTCTTCTATGTTTGACACCTCAGCTATTGATTCATCCAGCAGAATTGGATCTATAGCCTCCATGCTGCTGGCAGTTTCTTCCTTGGAAGATAACAGTGATGATGTTGATGACAGCCCCATCAAAACTGCTTCCCCTGATGGTGGAGTGGTGGCTTCTGGGCTCTCCACTCTGCTGTCTATCAACGGATCGGTACAGCTTTCTACACCAGACAATGTAGCAGCACTTTCAATTGATACATTTTCCTCTGCAGGCAAATCACTGTCTGGACATGGGGAGCCTATGTGAGATGATGACAAGTGTTCCCCACCTAGCAGAGCTGCTCGCAGATCTTTGATCCCTAACGTTGGCTCATCCCGTGGTACCGTGCACAGTGGCTGTGCCATTAGCCCCTGGAAGGTGATCATATGCCGGTAACACCAGCTATCTTTGTCAAGTGGTTCACATGATGGCAGTAGGTGATCACTATCATTTTTGGCTGAGGTGTTGGATGTCCAATGTTTGCCTGAAGATGGAGATTCAGAATTTTCATTTCGTTCACTTTTAGGACTATCACACAAGCGCTCCTCCTCTGCTACTTCCAGAATGACTGAGTCCGATATAGTCTCCTTACAAGTGTAATTCACTGATGGTGACACACCCAGTGGATCAGCAAAAATGGTTTTCTGCAAAGCTAGACCAGGCCACTCAGAAGCATTGGGATCTTTGAGCAGGTAGTCCTCAGCGCTATCCTTCAGGGACTCCTCATAGTACGGGGCCTCTTTATTGTCTTGTTCTCCATAGGAGTAATAATCAGAGGGGTCCCAGTGGCTTTCAGTGTGTGCCGATTGACCCAGGAGGGGGTCCATGGTGAGTGAGATGGTGGGACTATTGCTGGATTCATAGTGGTCCTCCTTAATTTGCCAGTGTGAAGAATGGCTAAACTCAGGGCTGTAGGAACACACGGTATAATCAAGGTCATTCCCACTGCCTTCAGATGCCACCTCTTCAATGCGAATATAGTACTCGCTGTTCAGAGAGGGGCTATGGGCACTCAGCACAGGGACTACCCCCGGTGTGTGCAAACCAGGGCACCCCTGCATTTTACAATCATAGCAAGAGGGGGACACCCCCAGGCTGAGGTGCCCGCCCCCACCTCCACTGCTGCTGCTAGCTGAATAGTAGAGATCATGATAGCGTGCAGCCCCACCAGGGCTCATAGCTGAGGCTGGGAGATGTTCCGCTTTCCCTTGGTCCCACTTGTATTCAAAGTTGAGGCCATGGCTTGTCTCCATCACAGTGAGAACATCATCACCATCGTTGGAGAAATGCTCCAGAAGAGGGAAGGAAGAAAGCTCCAAACCCATGTGATTGGAGCCAGAACCTGAACCACCGGTGCCTCCGGGTTTCATGGAGTTCCAGCGCCTCTCAAACTCCTCCTCCACTTCGGAAGCCCCCTTGGCACAGAGGTAGGAGAGCAGAAGATGCACCTCCTCTGCGGTGGGGCGCTGCTCTGGCTGAAGCCAGCAAAACTGCATCACCTCATACCTGTGAATAGCAAGGAGAGAGCAGCTGTGAGCCAAATGAGGTCCCTTGCTGTCAGGAAAGTGGCTATTCTGCACCCTGCAAAGAGTTTACCCTTCCCCCCATTAGTGCATAATTCATTCCAAAATATATCTGTTTGTATGGGAATTAGTCCTCTCTTCTCAACATTATTATTCCGTCCTTGAAAATACACTTTAAGATAGGCACAGCAATAATGACAGCTTCATTTAAATAAACTAAAAAAATGGCTTGGGTAAGAAAAAAAAGTCAGAGAAAACAGCATCAAAAGAAAACAAGTTTTTTCTGATAGGATTTGCTTCTCAGCTCCAATAAACATATTAGTCCCATCAACACTGCAGAAAGCTTTATCAAAGCTTAACATGGTGGTCCAGATATGGCCTAGAGAAAATATTATTCTGGGCTAGGTACCCTACTTCTGTAGAAACAGCTCAGGACTATCTCAGGCTTTTTAGCAGTTATGCTACCCTACTGGCTCATATTCAAGACATCTAGTTCCTTCTCATATATACTTCTGTACTCCTTAGGCAGGCAAAGGTAGTGCTCGATTTAGAACTGTAACCGAGCCCAGAATTACGATAGTCATTAAGGGGATCACCACATGCTTGCCAACAATTTTACAACCGTTTTTGCTGTGACCCTAACACAGTGGTTCTCAACCTGTGGGTCGGGACCCCATTTGGGGTCGAATGACCATTTCACGGGGGTCGCCAAACAAGGCTGTCCGCCATTTTTTCCCCCTTTTCTTTGGCCACGCCCCTAGCACCCGGTGATGTTTAAGTGGTTGGGGGTCACCACAACATGGGGAACTGTATTATGGGGTCACGGCATTAGAAAGGTTGAGAACCACTGCCCTAACAGAACAATTATCCAGTGGAACGGCTTGCCTTCAGAAGTAGTGGGTGCTCCATCACTGGAGGCTTTTAAGAAGAGACTGGACAGCCACTTGTCTGGAATGGTAGAGGGTCTCCTGCTTGAGCAGGGGGTCAGACTAGAAGGCCTTCAAGGTCCCCTCCAATTCTATTATTCTAATTGTTAAGCAAACACTGCAGTCATTAAGCAAGCACCGTGGTCATAAACTGAGTCCGTTTTCCCCAATGGGCTTTTTTTTTTGCCAGACCCTGGAAGAAAACACTGGAAACCAGCCCCAAACACACCCCCAAAAAATCACAGTCACATGACCACGGGATGCTGCAAGCAGACATAAATGCGAGCCAGTTGCTGAGCACCCAAAATGTAATCATGTGACCGCAGGTGTTGGAACTTCAAAAGTGGGTTGTATGTAGTTCTGAGTCAGTCCGTTGTAACTTCAGTCTAGAAGTGGGCAGTTGTTGCGCAAGGGCTACCTTTATCTGTCCATCCATCTTTCATTCTTTCAATTGCATAAGATTTAACACATTAACCTTGAAGCATGATACTTGCTTATTCAAACATGATGAATGCCTACATGTTTCAAGTAGGCTGAACATGTACTCAAGAAGTTTTCCTTTCCTCCACCATGTTTGTCCCTATATTCCAATCACTCTTTTCTCTTCCTTGTCCTCCTTAAAAAAAACCTTGTCCCCACCTAGTTACTCACCAGCGATCAGATAGCGAGAGTGGAAGCTGTGGTTTGGGAAGTTTAAGCTGCTGCTCTTTGATAGCGTAAGTGAGGACTTGCCGATCAGAATAATGGCAGTAGGGCTGGCCTCCCAGCTCAAACAGCTCCCAGATAGTCACACCCAAAGACCTGCCAAGAGAGGAAAAATGAAAATGTCTAGAGCCGTAGAAAACACTATAGCCAGAATGCAAGATTGATACACAAGATCACGTTCTTTGATACCAGAGCAGTCTCTCTTAGTTACTGAAATAGTCAGGTGCTTCCAGATGAGAGAGTATACCATGTTTTTTTCCTTAATGGACAGGCTGTAGTAGGAGCAAATGGAAAGGGTGCATGTCAAAGAAGAAAAAAAAGCTGTATTTTCCAGAAAATTCTGTAATAGGGGCAAGACAGTTGCCTTAAAAAAACTTTCACCTGGAAGCACCCTTTGTAATTCACAGGAGAAAAAAAACCTAGACATGGAAAACAGAAATGAAACCAATTTATAGGAAAAATTCCAGTAACGCGGAGAAGCAGAGTCTCTCCAATGATACATATGAACATACCGCCCGCTCAGCAGTCCTATCAATAACTTCTAACTACAATAACCCAGACCCTAAGTCTTGCAAAAACTGTTAGGTTAATTCCATACTTCAAAGACTGTCATTTAAAACACTGTCCTACTTTCTTAATGAGCAAGAAGATATACTGGGGGAGGAGAGGGGAAATTCCTTTTTATATAACTCAGCCCTAAACTATAAAAAACAAGCACCAGAATTTGGAGTTTAGCCCAGAAATAAATAATCAGTAAAGTTTAATTAACTAATTAATATTAGATGCTTCAATAAGATTACTTTTACTACAGCAGTTGCATCTTAAACATATCCATTTATTATTATTGATTTAATTTGTATTCCACTTTTGTTATTTTTACAAACAACTCATCAGGCTGGCAAACATATCCAATACACCTTATTCCTCCTATTTTCCCTACAACAATCCTGTGAGGTGGATTGGGCTGAGAGAGAATGACTAGGCCAAAGTCACCCAGCTGGCTTTCAGGGCTAAGGCAGGACTAGAACTCATGGTCTCCTACTTTCTAGCTTGGTGATTTAACCACTAGACCAGTGTTTCCCAAACTTGACAATTTTAAGGCATGAGGACTTCAACTCCCAGAATTCCATAGCCAGCGTTGCTGGCTGTGGAATTCTGGGAGTTGAAGTCCACATGCCTTAAAATTGTCAAGTTTGGGAAACACTGCACTAGACTAACCTGGCTCTAACCCTGTTTGTCTAAAACATTTGGCGCCAGGCCTGTCTTCCCATGTCAAGTGGATTTCATACACCAGCCCAGATTTTTCTCACCAGATGTTGCTAGTCTTAGTCTGGTCGACGATCAGCAGGTTGCCGTGGACTTCATCAATCAATTCGGGGGCTACCCAGCGTAATGGAACCCATAGTTGGTCGGCGGTCACAAAGTAGTCATCCTGCCAGGCATGCAGGGCCAAAGGGAGAGCACATCCATCAAACCAGCCACAATGCCACCTGCCCCCTCGTTCCTGGTCCAAAGTTGAAGCTTCCAAACACTTTTGCCCGTGAAAAATATAGTTTGCACTACTAAATATCTCTTCCAATTGCTCCTAGCCTTCTCACTTCTCCAACTCAGTCATCTGGCCCTGGTTTGTTATTTTTTATTTAAAATACTTCTAAGCCTGCTTTGTAGAATACAGATCTTCCCAAAGCATCTTATGGAATAAAACAATATCTATACAATTTAATAAAAAAAAATATGAGGGTATAAGCAAACATCCCATCCCAAAAAATCTCCCCTAAAAGCACTTAAAGGAAGATCATAGAAAACAGGCAAGTCTTTCAAAAGTTAGTGATGGGGGCTCCTGAACTTCATTTGTCAGGATCATTCAAGAAATATGTGCCTTTTCTCTTGCAGTCGCCAATATGATTGCTCCTAACAAATTGGGCCAATAAGAAAAGCCTTCTTTGCAGTCTTAAAGTAGGAGCAAGTGGGTGCAGGTGTTTCATTAAGTTAGTAGGCTGCAAAGATTTTAAGTTTTTTTTTAATATTATAAGGAGCCCATTAAATGCAGCTGGGAAATGCACTGACAGATTCACCTCATTTCCAACAATACTAGCCCAGCCATGTTCTGCATCAGTTTAAATTTTTGAGCCACCTTTAAAGCAGCCACATATATTTATATATGAATGAAAGAAATGTATTCACAATGTATATGCATAAGATGCTGGGCGTGAATGTGTATTAGCTTCTGATATATCTTGGTGTATTTGTCTCTCACCCATTTCCCCTCCTTTCCCATACCCTCTCTCAACCATCCCTGGAAAGAGAGCTGCTTTTATTGTCAACCTTTCAAGTCCTCTGCAAATCCTGCCAATAGCAAGTGCTCTCACTCCATGTCCCCACCCCACCCCAGCTCCCTACTCCCTAACACACTTACTTTGTATTTGCAGTGAGAAAGGCCATAGTCACCAATTTTGACGGTAAGGTCAGCTGTGAGTAAGCAGTTCCTCAAGGCCAAGTCACTAGACAAAAGAAATATCCAACAGAGTTTATCCAAGAGGTATCAACGGGCCCGTTATGATGCAAATTAGATTAGCAGCAGAACCCCTAAACCAGGGAGTGGCAGTTGAAGTGCAAGGCAGAATTGCTAATCTGTTTGTATTACTTAGCTTATCAAAGGCAATAAGGAATATCTCCAATTAGGCCTGGAAATATGTCAAGACATGAATCCTCCGAAATAAATAGAGTTAGAAAGCGAAGCCACTATACAACAATGCACCAATTGGAATAAGTTCTGCTTTCTCTCAGCTTCTCTCCTTTTGATTTTCCAGCATCAAACCATTTGATTTTTCCTACCATCAAACCATGCATTTAACTGATTGACAGATGGATGCAACTGATCACCTGTAGACAGTGGTGGGATTCAGCTGGTTCGCACCAGTTTGGCAGAACTGGTAGCTAAATCCGGAAGTCCGTTCTAGGCCTCAGAGGCCCAGGCTTGCATCCAATAAGAGAACCAGTTGTTCAGGTTATTTCAATCCCACCACTGCCTGTAGAGTTTTCAAGGCTAGCCCTATACATGGTCTTGCAACTAAGAATGACACAGAAAGCAGTTATCAATAATAACGAGAGGAACCCACTTCCTGCTCTTCTGATGAGTCTGCACTCTGCAAGATTTAACAAACTATGCCACATAAAATCTGTTTCTGATTTCAATTGTTTTTTTTTAAAAAAAAACCTGCTGCATGTTTATCTACAAACCCTGAATTGGCAGGTAGCCCTCAGCTTACAACCCCAATTGAGCCCAAAACTTATGTTGCTAAGTGAGTTTTGCCCCATTTTATGACCTTTTTGCCACAGTTGTTAAGCGAATCACTGCAGTTGTTAAGTTAGTAACCTGGTTGTTAAGTGAATCTGGCTTCCCCCCATTGATTTTGCTTATCTGAAGGTCGCAAAGGGGATCACATGACCCCAGGACACTGCAACCATCATACATATGAATCAGTTGGCAAGCGTCTGAATTCTGATTGCACGACTATGGAGATGGAGATGGTCGTAAGTGTGAAAAACAGTCGTAAGTCACTTTTTTCAGTGCTGTTGTAACTTCGAATGGTCACTAAATGAACTGTTGTAAGCCAAGGACTACTGTACTGTTCTTTAACATGGGCTGAGGATTCTCAGAGCAGGGATGCTCCTCTAAGAAAGCACATGGACACTAATCTTTGTGAGTGAATCACAAAAAAACCCAGCTGCCCACCTTAATTCTGTTTGGACCCTTATTTTGTCCTCTATCTTAGCTACCGCCCTCAAGAGAAAATGTCTCCTTGAAAAATGTAGTAAATGGCCATGCCACAGAGGGCTTTTTGGGGGGGGGGAGGAGACAATTTTAGCCTTTTCTTCCCACTGCTGGCACATCGTTTTCTATCAGTGATCACAATGGTAGTTATAGCTATTCTTCCAATTGCATGAAAGCATGATGTGGTCCATGGTATTGATCGCATTTACATCAACCTCTATTTTCCCCATCTTTTTGCGATCTCAGAAGAATTGCTGAGCCCAACAGTCACCATAGCTGCCTTTGTTATTCTTGGAGAGAAGTCCAGTACAGCACAAATGGGCCTGTTTCTCTCCCTTTGCAAAGGCTTTGTGACATTTTAAACGTTACTCAATCACATTTTTATATCGACTCTGAAAGATATTGCCAGTCTTTATAGCTATGTTAAATAAGAAGAGAGAAAGGAGAGAAAGGGGAGGGAGGGAGGGAGGGAGGGAAAGAGAAAGAGAAGAAAGACATGCCAAAGCAGCAGAAGACTCATCTTCTAGGCACTCTTCTCTTCCAGCTCAATAGCCTGAGACATCTATGACATCCCTCTCTTTGTGTCCATAAAAGATGGTCCAGGAGATGGCAAAGCACCCCCTCTTCAACAAAATCACTGATGCTGGAGTCTCTGAGTGCCACTCACTCAGCACCAGGATATTGTTGACGGGGAGGAACGGGTGATAAGAAGAGAGCAGGAACTGCAGTGGTTAACCAGGCTTGTCTGGTTTCTTGCTGGAAGCCAAATGCTGCAACCCATGTTTCCGGACAAGATCACAGGAGAGGGGAAAGCTGGTTGGAAAATCAATGTTACAGACAGCATACCCTGTGTATCCTCACCTAAAGCACCCAGAACTTCAGTTACCACAATACACAGTGGGGCCAGGATAAAAAAAGATTGGGAACACAGTAATATTTAATACATATGATAAATGAATAAGTGTAAGAAAACTCTTGAGACTGATTGTAGCCAGCAAGACAATTGTATGGGGGGAAAAAATCCAAAGGGGGCATGAAAGCCTTAGCAGCAGAGCAGAAAACCGTACTTTCATATATACTTTTACTATCTTTGTCAAATTTTAAAAAGCCCTGACGGGCAACTCTTAGTGCCAAAATTCTGTTAATTTTTAAATGGATGCATCTATAGTCATGAAAAAATGCCTCTGAAAGCATGAGAACGGTGTAACTAGAAGATAAATTCCAACATAATTCTGAAGATCAACTTTATATAAATGTAATACTTTCCTCAATATCTTATGTTTGTCAGCTTCTATTTTCTAACCCCAATCGTTTTAGAGAGCCTGCTTTCCAAATTTCAGCAAGAGACGCCATCATTTGAAAGGAAATGGGATGGGGCATGACACATAGCCCATGAATTGCCAATTTGTGTTTTTGAACATTTTTTCAGGAAAAAAAACATGCCTTTGGATTATCACCATTTCCGCTACTAGTCACCAGGCCTCGGATATCACACGAAATATCATTGTCATCATCAATTCCACAGCAAAAGAGGAGGCAGATATGGTTCTGGAGTCCCCAGGCAAGACTAGAAAAAACTCCTTTCTCAAATCCTGCAAAAAGATTAGGCCTTAACCCTAAACCAGTATATCTAAAGATCTACAGATGTATGGATATATGAGTAGTTACCACAGGATAGCTTTGAAAATAGCATGTGTTGCTTCTTCCTTATTTGCTAAGTTCTCCTGAGTCGTTCTCTTTTCTAAGTTCTCCATCTAACCATCTTCACTCTGCTAATTCGTGAAGAGAACCATTTTCCATTCTCTTTTTATGCGCTTAACCTGAAGGCATGGCAAGCAAACCAATCTTCTCAACTTACCTATGGACATAGCTGTTGCGATGAAGATGCAGCAAGCCACAGGATACCTCGCAGGCCATGCGCTGCAGCGTCAAAGGATCAGGTGCCAGAGCCTCTGCAGTGTGGCAGCTTCGTAGGTAGCCCTTTAGGTCACCCTGTTGGAGTAGCAGTAGTGTTACCCACAACTATAACTGCCTAAAGATCTCTCTCTGTGAGGTGTGAGTGGTTGAAGAGGAATAAGGGGGGGGGGAGAGAAGCATTTCTGCAATGTGGTCAAAAAATGAGACCATGATGATTCAGATTTGCCCCCTCAAGATGGAGGCGTGTTCAAGGATTCTTGGCCATACTGGAATTCTGCCTATCTGGGGAGACAGAAGAAAGTCTCTTATTTGAGTTCCATGGGTAAAAGAAAGACATCTCTTCACCCGTTGTTAGCAAGCCAAAATAGCTCATTGCCGAGAGAATGAAAAAGTACACTTCTACAAACTAGAAATATACCTGCTGAACCAATGGTTTCAGATGACCCCAGCAAGAGTCAGGAGAGAAAGAGGAACATCTCTTCAACCAAACACACTTTTGTCACTTTCCTGTCCCAAGGTTGAGGGGAAGAGGGGAAATTGTATTTTCCCCCCTCCATTAATGACTTACCAATGGGCAAAATTCCATCACCAGCAGATAGGGTGTCACCTCCGCACACTGAGCCAGGCACTGTAGGAGATTGGTATGCTGGAGTGCCCTGGGCAGCAAAGGTAAGAGGTAGAAGTGAGACTTGAAGGAAGCAAGCAAGTAGCAATCCAGAGCCAAATTAAGAGAGGACTTGGAAAAATGTGCAGACCTGGCAGAGCATTTGGGTCAAGATGGGTTGAGGTACATCAGCATTATAGAATGAGAGAACTCAAAGGGCTCAGAAACTAAAGAAGTGAGGGAACAGCTAAGGATCAGTGAGAAAGCAAGGAGCAGGATGATCACAGCTAAGAAGAAGTACACTAGGCTTACAGGTGACACCTCAACTAAGTCAGCTGAGAAAGGACTTTGTTTGAAAATGCTTCTTTTCTCTTTAGATTGTCAAGCTACTTTCACATCGGTTTATATAAGGACAGGGAAGGGCTCCTGTGATACAATCACAAACTGGCACTAAATAAATGGTCCTAAGCTGTGCCAGCTACCTCAGAAACAATAAGAGCTGTTTGTTCATAAGTCAGTAAAGTAATTCATTGCTTCCCCAGCATTGTCCCTCCCCTTCTGTGTATTTTGGTCAGATTCTCTGGATCCAACAGGAGATTTCTTTGCTACTCCGGGATTCATACTGGGAGAGAAGATGTAATACAGAGTAAGCTATCTTGACATCTCAGAAGCTAAAACAGGACCAACCTTAGTTAGTACTTAGTCTGGGAAGAACCTGTAGGTTTGACAAGCAAATTGAAAGAACCATCCTGAAGAAAGACAACAGCAAACTACATTTTGTGAAACTGCCATAAAAACATCATGGATGTATCATCAAGAGTAAAGCTCAACTCATGGACACCTTTATTTTAAAATCTTATCTTTAAGGATTACAAGCATGTAGATCCTCTCATAACTTCTTAATAACATTTATTTGAGGGAGAGACACCACAAAAGACCCAAATTTTGGAAGTCCTCAAACCTTGCAAGATTTTGATAATCTTAACCTGATGTTTCATAATATATTGGGTTAAGAAGGCTGGAATTTGTCAGTTTTCAAAATAACACAAGAATCTTACATTTGGGTCATTTAATTTTTTTAAATTTAACATTTGCATTTTATTTTATGAAGGGTATGAGTGCTACATTCAGGAAGCTCTGAAGTTCAGCAATCTCTCTTTCGCTCTTTTGTCAGTGTCAGACCAAATTATAGACAGTCTTAAAGCTACTTCTGCTTTGACCTAGAGATGTTTTCATCACCATCTCTTATGATCCAGCCCTGTTCTGTCAACATGGGGAAGCAGATAGCTTCCATTCACATAAGCCTTGTGTTCCCATATCTCTTATACAGATCCTGGCTGGAACTGTAATAGTCACACATAAAAGAACACCTGTGGTATGCTCACAGGTGCAGCCCCACATAAATTTTGTCCAAATGCTGAGGAAATCTAGATCAGAGGTAGTCAACCTTGGCTCTTTTATGACTCATGGACTTCAACTCCCAGAATTCCTGAGCCAGCTAAGCTACCCCTGATCTAGATAGTCCATAGCCTGCTATTGAAAGATGAAAGAGAACTTACCTGTAAGGCTGTGCCTCTTCCAAGAATTGCATTTGATCCTGCACGCTCGCACTGGCCTTAAGCTCTTTTACCACCACCTGAGTACTGCTCAACCCTGCATTTACCTCACCGAGGAACACCTAAAGTGAAAGAGAGAGATATACAGTCACCTTGATCTGGGATCTTGCACTTCTGATTTAGGATGATAATGACTTTATGAACTAGGGAGACCACGATAGTTGTACTATAAAACTGTATTAATAGATCAGTATCCTCTTAAGTAGCCACCAGAGTTTCATCATGAAATTTACTGCAACTTTATAATACAGCCAAGAATAGGAAATGTGCTAACCCTTCTCAGTTTTTCATTTATGGACATTCTTAAACAATACTGGGAAACTTTCATGCATAAGAATCAATCAAGTCATCCACCGTACCAAGCCAATGTTTGGATCGGTAATTTGCCAATGAGTGACTACTAATGTTCCACTAGCAATCACAACACAAGCTTTCTGCAAACAAAAGCACAAGTTCACACAGCAATCACTAATATAAATTATCTTTATAAGCTGGACTTAAGTTTTTATGTTCCACATAAAAATTTAATTCATGTATTTATTTTGTAATATTTATTCCATTGTCTAGCTCTCAAGTATTTTTCAGGTTATAATGCATCATAAAAGAGTCATTTGGTTTCTATGTCTTACACACCACTTCCCTGCACATGTATTCTTGTTTACCCTGCTCTTAGGCTCCAGGGTCTTAAGGCAACTTTGCTCTCTGTTCTTCAGCTGGCTTTCTGTGGCCATTTAATGGAAAGCTAGGCAAACTTTCTATAACGCCCAAATAGGAGGCAATAGAAATAAATATAGGAAAAATCAGTAATGCTGCATGGGGTCTATGGGAAGTGCCAGATCTAATCTATTAGTTACAGAGTTATCCTTATCCTCTGCCTCTCCTCTTTTGGCAATTGCACCTCATTGAGTTGAATAATTGCAGCCTTCTGTTCTTTCTACTAAATGGCTCACTTTTATGTACTGGGACCTAATGCAGAATTGACATTTCCATTTTTAATTCTGTAAGTTAACGTATATTGTTCCACACTCTCACTCGCCTGCTGCCAAAAGCACTCCTCAAAGGGACAGCACCGATGCCTAAGAATGAAATCTACTCTATTCTTTCAACTTACTAATTTCACTCCCTTTGGCTTTGGCTTTTTCTCTGTATCCTCTCTTCCTTCCCATTCTTCCAGTGTTAATTGCAGGTTGGGGATCAGCCCAACTTACCTTGCCAAACCATCCATGGCCAATTTCTTTGAGGTACAGCAGACTGTGGCGTCCCAGGTCAGTGGATTTGAGCAACTGCACTGTGAAGGAACACATAGAGCAGTCTGAATTTCTGCACCCTCCTTCTGATAAGTTGGTCGCTGTACCAGCTTGACCCCATGCTGTCTCATTCTAGCTTTCTGCAGAAGAACAGACCTGGGACAACAGCTGCATGCAGATTCAGATACAGGAAAATCCTCAGAGAAAAGAGGAGATATCAACTTCTGGAACCAGGTTCGCTGCAATTCTTTGCTACATTGGCAGAATCAAGCCGGGGCCGAAGGAGTTTTCCCAAGCAGAGGAAGAAACAAGGAGCTTTCTCCTACAATCAGATGTCTGCCTGAGCTTCCAGGCATTAGAAAGCATCTGTTCAGGGTCTACTCAAGCAGGCTCTCCAGTGTCCCAAATGCAGCAATGCCACCCTTCATTCCCTCAGTGCCAGACACCACTGTTCCCATCACACCGAGAAGCAAAGGCGTTATTGTTGTCCTCGGCAGCAGTGGCTAGAGCTAAACATTGAATCCATTCTTTTGGGGGTCCGTTTGGATCACTGGGCTACACAGTGTGGGCAGAGCAGAGCGGAGCCATCGCATGGCTAAGTGGCTCGTCCCTCTCCCTCCCACCCAGCGGGACAAGTCTCGGATTCCTCAGTGGCTTCACATGGGAAGGAATGCAGGACCCGTGGGATCTGGGATGAAAAAGCCCTTTGTCTCCAACGTAGTGGGGAGAACAAACCTTCAGGCAGGACAACCAGCAGTCTCTGCGGAGGTGAAAAGATCAAGGGCAGATGCCCTATCCGCAAGCCTGTTCCATTACTTCTTGTTTTGCTTGCTCTCCAGCTAGCTAATGGAGGAAGTTGGCTGCTCAGGCTGTATGCCTGTTCTCCAGGTATATGCAACATAGGGACGGTGCCCTACAAATTCATTCCTATGTCCCCTAAAGCAGAATGCCTTGCCCCTTTGAGCCCACAAGGTGGCATTGGCAACTCACACTACAGCATGCTTATGTGAGAAACCAGAATAATCTGAAAGATACTAGTTAAGGGGAGAGGGGGAGAGAGGGGGGGGAATTTGGAATATCACCACAAATATGCTGTTGAGCAATAGGTAGGTACAAAGTTCTAGCACCCAAAAAAAGGAGCCTCAGTCTCTTATTAAAGAAAGGACTGCCATTACTCGCTCTCCTCTTCTGTTTATACCTGGCACTAAAACGATTAAAGCAAGATTAGGGATCTCCTTGCTTTAGGGGCAATCCACAGGATTTTGAAGTAGAAAGTGGGGAAGGAGGAATACATGGCCTTCAGCCTAGGCTATTCAGTAGAAATATGCAGCCTAGGCAGCAAATACAACCTCAGATGTGAGAGGATGCGTGACAAAGCATGACCATATACAGAGGAATGGGACTCAAGAACCAAGCCTTTAGGGGCTCCAAACAAACTGACAGGGGAAGAATACGCTAGACAAAAATTCTTCTCCCCTCAGCTGCTTCCAATGGCAACAAAGCATTGACGTCGCAGGAGAGAGGTGAGCCTATACAGAAACCGAATTCCATGCTTAGAAGCGGATTTGATCCGCCTCAACATATTCTCTGTCAAGCAGCTGCAAGTGGGTTGTGGGGGAATCCAGCCAAGCTTATGCATTCCCTTGACAAAGGTGGGTTGGAGGATATGAAGGCTGAAGACTTGCAGTATACAAAAAAGATGGCTGAATCCAAAAGGACAGAAGGTATCTAAGCATTGTCTGCAGAACAGGATCTTTGGAGAATAATTCTTGGTTTATTCTCCCAAGATCCTGTTCTGCAGACAACTGCTTAGAATGTTGGATATATACCATTATGAAGCTAGTGTAGGGGTAGGCAACCGTGTCTCTTTTATGACTTGTGGACTTCAACTCCCAGAATTCCTGAGCCAGCTGTGCTGCCTCAGGAATTCTGGGAGTTGAAGTCCACGAGTCATAAAAGAGACAAGGTTGCCTACCCCTGGGCTAGTGTATCCCACTTTAGCTCTTTGCAAGCAGTTCTTGTTACATTAGCTTTAATTCCCTCTACTGAACTGAGAACTCTAAATGGAGGTTGGGGGTGTATATAAAACATATCAAGCAATATTTTATGGTAAAAGATTTCATTTTACACAGAACATCTGTGTAACCGGTGAACTCAAAAGCTTCCATCTCACTATAGCAGCTTTTACCAATCTGGCCACACTTCAAATGTAATGGACCTCAGCTTTCAAGATTTTTGGCCATGGTCATGCATGCTACAGGATTCTGAGAACTGAAATCCACACATCTGGAGACCTTTCTAACCAAAGAAGCCTTTATTATTTCAGCCCCATAGCCTATAGCTATGAAATATTAAACTAAAAAGCAGAACATTGGGGGGGAAATACACTATGTTAATTCAAAACTGACGCACTCAACAAAATGAGTATGATGGCATTAAGGGTATTTTGTAAACAAAAGACTTCCATTAAAAAAGATTTTTAAGCAGACACCTAAAGCACTGGGGTTTGTGAGATCAAAACTAAATCTATGTTTTACAAGGCAGAAAGATCACTACATAAAAAAAAAATACCCAAAAGATACTCAGAGCCTTGGATGATGAATAGAGGACATAAAAAGGAATGACATTTATCTCATATGATAGAATATAGTCTTAATATTTTATATGTATTGAAATTACTAAGAATATTGAGCAGAAACTATCCTGATTATTGGTTAAAACTAACTCTAAAGAGAGGTGGGGGGAGGAGGAGGAGGAAGGAGGAGGAAAAGAAAGAGGAAAGAGAAGAAGAGGAGGAGGAGGAGGAGGAGGAGGAGGAGGAGAAGGAAGAAGAAGAAGAAGAAGAAGAAGAAGAAGAAGAAGAAGAAGAAGAAGAAGAAGAAGAAGAAGAAGAAGAAGAAGAAGAAGAAGAAGAAGAAGAAGAGACTGTGAATAAACTTGTGCCTTCTGAAAGCATCTGAGTTACATTTCCAGGATGTCCAGGCAAATCTGAGACCTCCATGAATTTAGTCCCCGTACATATGGAGGATGTAAAGTTTAGACATTCTGGGTCATTCTATACAGTACCAGAATGGTATATTTATCTATTTATTTGTATGCAGCTCTTAATAGTTAATAGTGGAGCTAATCGTGCTATTACTATCATGTTTCCCCCTCCATCCCACTGGAGCCATCTTTTTCTATGGAAGGATATGTACCATTACCGAAGGAACATAATAAGAATGTGCAGGGGGATAACTATGCAGATCTTTGGTAGAAGAAAAAAGAGGAGTCCTATAGCATATTAAAGTCTAAAATTTTTATTGTGAGAGAAATACTTGGGGAGGTGGGCTCTATGCTACAAATGCTTGTATCTTTAAGATGATATCAGTATTCCAAGTCCTAAAGAGCACTCAGTCCTTTCACTTTTTTAAAATCACCTTGAACCTGCATGTGTAAAAGGGCTGTGAGAATAACTTTGAGGAAGAGGAGGAAGACAAGAGAACACTGTATGGCTTCTGTTCCCTTTCCCTCAAAGGAAGAATCCACTAATGGGTTAGAAGGAAAATATTTCCCCTGAGTCAAACCTGTTAGAAGTCAGAATTTGGGAGTCAAAATTGTCATGTCCTCATGGGCGAACAGACTAAGTTGAAACTGAGAGGTACCAGGCAAGGGTGGGCGTGACAACTTTGACAACCTAGTCTGATTGGGCAGGAGGACTGAAATAACCCATTGGTGGATTCTTCATCCATCATGCTGGAGAGCAGCCAAGGCAATGATGAGATAAGAGAAATCTGAACCCAGAGCAGGAATGGATTTAGAAAAAACATCTCAGACTGGACCTTCCCTTGTTCTCTTTGGGGTAAAAGTAGGGAAGGGGAAATATACTGAGAATAGCAAGATTCTGTTACTGTGACCCTATAATAAAAGTAGTTTTAATATTCATGGTTTTGCCATTCACGTTTGGTCTATCTCAAAGGGATGACCACATTACATTTGATTAAAGTATTTATTTGTACGTGCACTTCCTCTTCTTCAAGGTTATTCTCACAGTTCATTACAGCACAATAACAATAATTAAAGGGAGGATTTCTTCCGACAGTTGTGGGAAATTGGGCTCCTTGTTTCTTTTCGGAAGCACAAAATCTAGGTGATAATTCCAAGACTGTCAACAACAGAAAAATTCAAAGTTTTGCTATCTCCCTTTCCCACGCAGATGCCATCCAGGTGTTACTTCTCTCCAGGGCTTTTTTTGTCATAAAATGCACCAGAACAGAGTTCCAGCACCTTTTTTTGACAGATTTTCCAGAGTTGCATTCTTTTCCTATTGTTTACCTTCCTATCCTCATTTGTTTTTGAAAAGGCCCCGCTGGTGGTACAGTGCGAATGGGGTCCCCTCTGGCGCTGTCTGCCTTCTCTAGGAGGAGCCATGAGGCGCCGGAGCACCACAGCCAGAGTGGCTTGATTGCCTGGGTTGGACCATGTGGTGTGGAAGCCGATGGTGGCGGTGGGAGACACATAAACATGAAGGCCATCTTTCATCTTGTTTGACAACTTCTTAAAAATAATTCAATCTTTTACAAGCAACCAAATTTTGTTTTATTGGGCCAATTTCATTCCACATAGAAAGCTGACATTTCCATTCATTAAACTAAATGGGTATGCCAGTGGTAAATGTCCCCAAAAGATTAATGAAATGCCTTCTTGTAATTTAAAGCCACACAGTGCATGGTAACATTAATAGTATTATAGTATTAACTTACCTTGAACAAAATCCTAGTCTTTTAGATACACTAAAAATTAAAGGGTTTTTTTTTTTCAACTACAAAGGTAAACCTTGTAGGGTAGGCAAAGCAAGTTGTATGCCGTGTGTGAGTTCTGGCACCTTTTTTTTTTTTTTTTTTAACAAAAAAAGCACTGCTTTGCTCTAAGATGGAAATCTCCAGATTTGTGGGACTTGCTGAACATGGTGCCCAGGAATTCTGGAACCCTGGGAATTGTAGTCCTATCCATCTGGATAGCATAAATTTGTCAATGCTGCTGTACACACAAAGCATGAAAATCACTATTGCAAGTATCCACAGAAAAAAAATGTTTAATGAAGTAAGCCTATTGCAGACACTTCAATTGATTACCTGAGCGCCCAGGTTGCCTAGACATTGGCAAAGATACTTCGGTGAGAGGCAGAATATAAACTTCAGGGCCATTCTGTGTGGCTGGTGAGCCTTGAGCTGAGAATTCACTAGGATATTCCTCCCCGTCAGCATTACTGAATTCCTGGGGCAAGAAAGATAAGGAGAATAAAAGTGTAGAATGGGGCAATAGAACAATGTTACGAATGTGGAGAGGAGAAGGTTTGAGACATGCATTTGGTCATCTCTCAGACACATAATCCTCCTCTCAATGGGAGGATTATGTCAATAAAGCATGCAAAGCAACTTTGACTCATTCAAGCAGCCTTCCCCAACCTGCTACGGTACACTCCAGTTGTTGGATCGCAATCCCTAAAAATCCTAGTCATTTCAATAGTAACTGGGAACCAGGGAAGTTATGTTAACAAATACCAGGCAGGCATTGGACTGATGAAGGCTGCTTTGAAATAGCATCCTCACTACCACCAGCAGTTTATGTGCTCACACATGGATGATCTTTCATAGATTTTCCACAGCAATACATAATTCTGCATGCAAAGAACCCCTGACTCAGTGCTTGCTATCTGCAGAAAAGGCCGGGGATGACGCTTTGCCTGAAGTATTTATTAAATCCCAAACCATATAGATCGATGGGCCAATTCAATACAAGGCAATTCACTATGTTCCTAAATACACATGAAAAAGTGCAAAGAACTCACATCCATTCTTTCGCACAGGTAACAAATGTGTGAATAATCACACTGAAGGGAAAGAAAAATGTTGTCCCTTCACTGCCATACAGCACTAGCAGAGGAATCTGTGCACACACTTGTGAGAAGAACTGAATCTACAGTCCTCACATCTATATACCCAGTCTCCATGTGGACTAGTGTAACAGTACTGTAACTGTCCTATTTTCTCCCATAATCTGGCTTAATGAATACCCATAACAGACTAGGAAAAGAGCACACACAGCCCAAGGGACATATACACCTCACTCAGTCCTATAACATGGATCGAGCTGCTTGAAATGGAATTGCAGAACATACACTTTTCAGTAGTAGCAAACCATTTGTGTGAAGATGATCCCACGCACACTTTGGGAGGCTAAGGATCACTACTGCAATCTAAAGGCTCAGTGCACTACTTTATTGCCCCTGGGGGAAAGAGCTGATTCACACAAACAGTTTCCCATCTGTGCAGTTCCATTTCAGATAACCACCTCCACAGCAGAGGAGATATGCACACCATGACAGAGGCAAATAAAGTATACAATCACTCTTTCCCATCCAGCTACAGACATGCCCCATTAGAATTGGGGAGTAACAGAGACAGCCGTGCACTCAGTCACTCTTTCTTCTTCTTCTTTTTCTTCTTCTTCTTTTTTAATCTTTCCACCCACAGATCTATGCATGTGGGGGAATGCAGTGCTGGGTTCAGGACAAAGCCCAAGATGATTGATTCTGATGTATTTCATGACAGCCAATTTCAAATTTTCTCCAAAAGGAAAAAGATGCTCCATGGAGACAAAGATTTGAAAGAGAAGACGAAAGCAAAATAAACACATCATTCCCTGCCAGACTCTCCGCAGGTCCACGGGGCAGGTCATAGCCAGGGCTACTGCTTCCAGCCGGTACCCCAGCCTCGCCTTTGCATGGGGAAGTAGGAAGACTTCAGGGGATCCAAATGCAGAGCAATAACCCATCGCCCCGCCTAGAGGCCTTCACCTGCCATCCCACGTCGATCCCCCAATTTTTAAAGTGTGGTCAGCGGCGGCGGCTGCTCTGCTCCCTCCCCCCTGCCCCCCCAGTGAAAGACAGAGTCATAAGCACAGTTGTGGGAGAAGCAGCCTCACCTTGGTCAGGGGGCAGGGGGAGGGCTGCCCAGGGTTCCCCAGTTCTACATTACAGGCTGTTTTGGGCATTGTGCTGGCCCCCGTGCAGGGCAGATACCTCAAAACCATCCTCAGCCTCTTCTCCCGGGATTCGCTTCTCCAGCTCTAGGCAAGAGTGCCCAGAGAAAGAGTGTTAATAGGTGCACCATCCCTTAGCGCTCTGCTCCCCTCACTACTGCCTGCAGAGTTCAAGGCAGTCCCATCAACCCTGTCCATCCCTCATCCGTCCACCCACCTGCCCATCCTTGCTTAAGGCTTTGCCTTCTTCTTTGCTCTCATTCAGTTCTCCTGCAGAGTGAGACCAGTCGGTTCTTCTAATTACCTGGATGAACTTTTTCCTACTGAAGGCTGCCCCGGCAATCAGGTAGGAAAGGGTGAGCATTCCCAGTGAGCATCTTAAGCCTGGGTAACCTTGAGCTGCTGCCTTCCTGGCTGTTCCAAGAGGAAAACACAGAGCCCACTCACAGACTTGTTTCGTGCCCCTATATAGGCAGTGTGGGAGGATCCTGAAGTGCTTCATTGTTCCCAGTGTGGAACCTGGCTACCTCTGTAAGCTGTGACAGAGCTGTCTATCACTGCAGGCTGAACGCTCCTCCTCCTTCTCCATGGCTGGTCAAGAGCCTCCACAAGAATGCCAGCTATGAGGCAAGCATTTTACAGCACATTCTGTGCCTCTGAAATCACATCACTGCCCACTTCCTTTGGGTCTTTCTAGAGCACATGGTAACCTACCACACTTGGGAGATTCTTGCCGAATTGGGAAGATTTTTCTAGGGACTAAAAGGCAAGTACTCGGATAAGAAGGGACAGAGAATTACTCCTGGTTCACACTGTTAGGCTGCTCTCTCTATTGAGCAATATGTAACACAATGTGCACAAATCCTCTAGCTCCTGATGAAGTCAACAGAGCACATAAACCTATTCTGTGAAGGGGTAGAGGGCTGACAGAAGGGGGGGTTGCTTTTAGACCCCTTTGCCTACAAGAGAAGTACCTGAAATAGATCATAGGCAGGACATCCCAAAGGTACTTTTTCCAAAAGGTAACTGGGCTTTTTCTTTTTTCCTTTGTAAAGGTTAAATGTTTACAAAGGAAAAAAAAAACCAAGAAAGTCCAACTGCCTTTGGAAAAAATACCTTTGGGACAACCACAACCTGCATGATTGAGAATCTCCATAGACATCATAGGCAGGAAACTCTGAGCATCATCTCTTGATGGCATCCAATTATCAAATTCAAGAATACCCCTTTGCTATTTCAAGTCAACTATTAACTCTTTCCTCCTCTCTCTACATTTCTCTACTGATGCCTCGTCACTTTTTTTTTTTCCAGGACTCCCATTTGCACCTCACGATATAGCACAACCCCAGGAAGTTGCTTTCCCTAAAAATTCCTAAACTTTTCCTGAACGAGGACCCTTCCCCCCCCCCACTCACTCCATCGTGGAAGAGACCTTTAAAACCACACAAGAGCAGGACTAGAAAGGTACCTCATAACTGAGTCAAACTGTTCAATGTATAAAAAGAAACTTTCTCTATAATAGCCATGTTCCTGGAGTCAAAACCAGGCCTAAGCTTCTAAATAACATTTCAGAAAGAGTGAAAATACATCTTGACATAATATTTTGCCTCACAAATGCTTCTGTAGGGAGAGATTGGAACTCATGTATACTGTGGTATCTTCTACTAACTAAGCAAAAGGAAGTAGCAGGTCACGGGAAGGACCTTTCTCCGCCTGAAACCCATGAGAAATGCTGTTGATCACACCTAGATGTGCAAGAATCTGACCTGGATAAGATGGTTTCTTATGCTCTCATTCATCTGCTTCTGCCTCTGGCTTGCGAAAGCTCACTAGGCCTTTTTATTTCTATCACGCTGCCAGACAGCCATCCCCTGTTGTGCTCAGGAGACTTGCTTCTCAGCAAGCCCCCGCCACAAAGCTCTAATCTGATGTCCCAGCCCACATCTCCGCCTTACCCCACTGAATGCCCTCCTGCTGCAACCCCTGCTGTTGAGATTGCTTGACTCTGTGCTTCTCGCGCCTGACACATAAATGCACCATGTCGTCCCTCTGACTCTTATTTTCTGTCTGTGCTTTATACTCCAGGGTGGCCCACGCTGCTTCTTCGGGACTACTCTGGTAGGAACTTAATGGTAAAAGCAGGTTCCAGCTTTGTCTTCACGCTGAGCATTATTTCCTTCTCCTTACAAACAATAGGACATGTGACTGTAACCTTCCCCAGCCTGGTGGCCTTTAGATTAACTAGATGACAACCTTCAGAAATCCCAGCGATGTATCCAGAAGCCACCAGGATGGCAACGGCTGTCAAGGACACAGCAGAAGACTTGGTCTGATGCACTGCTATGCCCCGGGCAGCCAGAGAGATTTGGACCTCCCCCCCCCCCCGAACTTACCTTGAAGCCAATGCCCCCTTTCTTGCAGCACAGACAGGCCAACATGAGGAAGATGAAGGTGAAGAGTCCTGAAAAGGAAACGGCCACCACCACCAGAGAGGAGGACCAGGAGAGCTCACTCAAGGGAGTGCCATCTGTAGGGAGATAAGCAAGAGGGAAAAGATGAGAAAGGGAGGTTCAGGAAAGAGTGGGGGGGGGAGGACCAAATATTTGCCAAACAAAGTCAGAGAGAACGCAGCTGGGACAGAGCCCAGCAGGAGGCCTCTAGTCTATATCTTGCACAGCTTTAGTTCTCCTTTCTTGCAGACTCAAAGCAAGTTCAGAAATCAAAGATTCCCTCTTGCTGTATTCCCTGCTCTCTTACACCCACTTGTCTCTGACAAATCCACTACCCTTTGAATCCTCCTTGAAAGAAAAGGAAAGACGCCTGTTCTGTTCTCCCAACTGCTCTTCTAATCTGCTCCCAGAAATGGGCTAGTTTAAATCCAGAGACTCAAAAGAAGCAAACAGCCAACCTGGCTTTTCCATCTATGAAGAAAATAAGGCTTGTCAATCTCATCTCATGGTCTCCCAGCTTGGACAAGCATGGAATCTCAGCAGGGCAGAAATCCTGCCATATCATACTGCTTTATCCATGCAGCAGTAATCATGGATGCTGATGCCTTAACACTATCAGGTCACTGAGTAACCTTACCTCCCACTTCCCACAGCTCTGATCATTCCCATCAATCTACTCTGTTCTGCACTTCCCTGATTTGTAATTGTTATGTGTATAGGTATAGCCTAGGTGTATTTCACAGCCTGAATTCATAGCACTTTTCAATGCCCATCATTTTGTCAATATGCACAAAGCAACACATTCAGAAAATGCAGAGGGCAAGTTTTAATTTTTGATCAGCCAACTGGCTGACTAACTGAGCAATGGCTTTGAACGAAGACCTCACTTTGGGAGAAAAAAGTAGTTTCCATTAAACTTAAGAGTGCTTTTTCTCCTGAAACATGAAGGATCTTGAGAAAATTGCAGCGATTTCAAAAGGAGGCAAGAATGGGCACACATGCTCTGTCTTGGAGGCTCACTGTATCCATTACTTTTAAAGAAGGACACACATCCTGGCTTTCAAAAAACTAAAGAGGAGATGAGAAAGCAGAAGACATAAAAATTAACCTCACAGGATGAGAAAAAGGGAAAGACAGTAAGCAGCAGAAAGATTAAAGGCAGCCCAATCACAGTGTCCAGAATGCTTTGTAATGCAAAATAATTAATCTGGCATTTAATATAGTACCAAGAAAATGATTGGACTGGTTGCTCCATGAGTTGATAAATAAATACCCTGGAGATAAGGAAAATATAGGTGGGAGGTCATTATAGCATGCTTAAGGAGAAGGATGAAGGATATACTGTACTGTAAGTGAAAACTCTTGACGAGGTATAGGCATATTAGACAACACAGTAGATGCTACAACACATGCACAGTCATAAATCTTTGTGCTCTAGCAGCTTATAATTCCACATATATGAAAAAATGGGGGGGACCCTTATGATAGCATTACCATAGTAATGAGCATCTCTTCCTTCGTTGCTTATCCTCAGTAGTGGAATTTTAACTTTTCTGCAAGAAAGCATCCTTGTTTCTGTCAGCCAAGGCAGAAGCCCACGGGCATAGGAACTATATGCCGTGGCTGGCACTCTTCCTTCTGAGGCCAGAAACTGGCAATTCATTTGCATACTGCTATTTGTGATACAGCTGATGCCTTAGGAATCTGCTGCTCTGACAGTTCTATGCCATAGAAGGAAAAAATTAAAATTCTTCAGCCTCCAAAGTTGTGTTTAGGGCACTAATCTTGCAAAATATTTAATTCATAAACACACACACACACACAGAGAGAGAGAGAGAGAGAAGTGCAATACATTTTGAACTAGAAAATATATAGATGCCCAGGCTGCAAGGATACTGAGATTCTTCTGGCCCATTGTCTAGGTGGGGACTCCCAGTTAGGAACTGAAAATGTCCCTGTGATTAGATTAAGGTCTTAAAAGGGAACAATTTCAGCAGGATGTTTTACTCCCTTATTCCTAGTTTATGGCCCACTGGGATAATTTAATTTTAATAGATGGCTCTAATTTAGCTCTAGCAAGTATCAAGCTCTTCCAAAGCCTTGCAGCTGCTCTTTCAAGGGAAGTCAACTTAGGGGTAAATTAATGACACAAAAGACATGCATGCTGAGTGGGAAGTGACAGCACAGCTGGAAAAGTCTGAAACAGCATGCTGTTTTTGAAGGGGACATCCCAGAAACTAGGTTCATGATTCGGAGAAGAAAGGAATACCACATTGGCTAATCTACCGTAATGTAAAACTGATTGTTCTAACAGGCAGAACAAAGTGTACAATCAAACTCATTAATTGAATGGAATAGAGAGAAAGAGAGCCATTTACTGTCTGACCTCACTGCTGATCTATTAGTTTTACAGGCCCTGCTATATAAGAGATTGTAGCCCTTTAAAATGGAAGAGTTTAGGATTAAGATTAGGATTTAATTATATGGTTCCCTGCATTTGGAAAACCAGCAAATCAGGAACAGCAATACTGTAACAATACCCCATCCTTGTAGTTTGCCTGACACCTGTGCAGTGAGGTATTGTACCCCATGTTCTTTTGAATATGTAGGGCAGCAGCTCCGAACAAAAGAGGAGAACATAGATGCCCTTCTGGTGTCTGAATACCAGTTGTGTTGTTTAGTAGTTGTTTAGTGACTGACTCATTTTGCAGTTATAACCCCAATGAAAAAATAACTTTGCAACCAATCCTCACATTTATGACCTTCAGAGGTTTATAAAGCAAAGGAAAGTTGAAGATCATTAACAACAATCACTTAGTGATTGCTTCACTTAATAACTGAGTTGCCAGTCCCCGCTGTGGTTGTTAAGTGAGCAGTACCTGACGTGGAAAAAATAAACAAAACAGAGACTGCATCCCTCTCCCACCCCGTATTGTAGATAGGATAGGGCAAAGCAAGTTTTTCTCTTTGCCTAATCCCATCAGACCCAAATTAATCCTTCCTGCTCCAGAGAAACACCCCCCCAATCCCATCTAAATCAAAGAGCCCAAGCATTACAAGGGACTTGCAACCTAGAGTAATCCCAACCCCCCCCATCCTCAATCAGTAGATGACCTCAACATTCCATATCCTTAACAATGAATTGCCTTCAGCTCTGCTCCCTCTTGAAATGCCTGTTTTGCTTAACAGAACTCACCCCAGCTACTCCCTATCAACAAAGGACCTGCCTACCTTTCCCAAACCAGTCAATCAGTTCCCTACTATTTCCTACCATAGAGCACTAAGCTGCTATAAAAATATTTGTTCTTCCAATGTTCAGTGTCCCTGTTTCTTATAAAGCCATCACAGAGGTTCTTCTTTGTGGTCAAATGCATGAATGTTATACAAGAGGATAGTATTCATTTCATCACTGCATACATACAAATAGTCCTCTAAGAAAACAGTGCACAAGCAGGGGTCTTCAGAGCAAGCCACAAGAGAACCTAGGAAAGATTCCATGAATGAAAATCCTAAAGGGGAAAACAACTCAAGAAGCATGGGAAACTCTGAAAAATGTGATAATAAAAGCCCAGTCCAGCACAATACCACTGAAAAAGAGAAACAAGAAATTCAAGAAGAAACCAGCATGGCTGTACAGTAATCTCTCTGACAAACTGAAAGACAAAAAGAACAAATACAAACAAAGGAATGAGGGACACATAAGTAAGGCTGATTATCAGCAGACAGCCAGAACATGCAAAGATGAAATCAGGAAAGCAAAGGCTCAAAACAAACAAAGGCTTGCAACAGAAATCAAGGATAATAATAATAAAAAAGTTTCTTTCAACATATTAATAACAAGAAAAAAGTCAAGGAAACTGTAGGTCCACTAAAGAGAGAAGATGGCAAAGAAGTAACAAGCAATAGGGAGAAAGCAGAGCTTTGTTATAGACCAGTGATGGTGAACCTTTTAGAGACTGAGTGCCCAAATTGCAACCCAAAACCCATTTATTTATCGCTGGGTGCCAGATGGGTGTGGCCCACTGGGTGGGCGTGGCTGTGGTGGTCATGGCAGATTGGGTGGGTGTGGCCACTTCGATGTTGCTCGTGGAGAGGGACACCTGTGGGGGCCGGGCAGGGTTGGGGGAGATTCAGGAAGTCTCTGGCAGGTGGGGCGGTGGGCAGGAGGCTTGTCCTGCTGGGTAAAGCGAGGCAAGGCGAGGCAGGGCGGATGTGCCATTGTCACAGGGCAAGGTGAAGCAGGGGCCAGGGCGGCTGCTGCCTGACATCATCAGCCGCTGCACATAGAGGCCAGTGAGTGCATGGGTGCTGGGATGCATCTGGCCATGTAGGACCTCAGAAAGTTAGCGGGCAGCTGGTTGAAGAGGGACAGTTGCCATCTCCAGGGCATGGCGCGTGTGCCCACAGAGAGGGCTCCGAGTGCGGCCTCTGGCACATGTGCCATAGGTTCGCCACCACTGTTATAGACCAACATACCAAAAAAAACTGCAAAAGACAAACTAGAAACAAAAATTAAAATAAGCAAGAAAATGGTAAGAGACCTTTACGAATATAAATCACTGGGACCCGACAGATTACATCTCAGAGTTCTGAAGGAGCTGGCAGATGCTATCTCAGAACCATTGTGCCATATTTTTCAAAAATCCTGGAGCACCAGGGAAGCACCTGAGGATTGGAAAAGGACTGATGTGGTTCCCGTCTTCAAGAAAGAAAGAAAAAAAACCAGACCCAGGAAACTACAGACCAATCAGTCCATACCATACCTGGGAAGATCCTGGAAAGATAATCAAAAAACAAATATATATTTACAAATATATATATTGTAAATATATATATATTTACAATAACAATCTTTAGTATTTGTAACCAACGCATTGTCTGGGTTTACATATTTAACATTAATAGTAATACAGTTTCTATTCCTACCCTTTATTTTATTTTTCTAACCATTTATAAAAAAAATCCTATGTTTGGAAGTATTCTGAATCTTGTTTCCCTTTCATTTTCAATGTGAGCCTATCATTTCTGCACAGTCCAGGATTTTCTTAATTATATCTTCTTCAGATGGTATTTCTTT